AAAATGTCCGAAATTTATATAATTTAATATTTGTGGTTAGAATGGTGGTGAAAAGGGTTTGAAAGAAAGAAAAGAAAGTTTGACTTCTTTAATATAAAAATCTACTCAGAATGGCAATTTTATTACAAATTTACACAATTTAAAAAATAATTTATTTCGTATTTTTAAGCAACAAATTTATTTGTGCCGAAACTACAAGTATTATAATTGTGGAGTCAGGCTTGTCGATTTTAAATTTTCAAACTGTGAACTCGAAGTTTAGATAAATTTTCTCGAGACAAAGAACAGAACATTCTTGAGTAATCTGGCTCACAGTTTTGATAAAATAAAATTAGAGAAGAAAATGTTGTTCTTCCAATCGCTAAAGCGTTATATTTATTACGGTTATGTTTATTTATTTTTTTGTTCAACATTGCAAACCGCTTGAACCACTTAAAAGAGCTGATATTGTTGTACGATAATCTTTATGTGTTTTGAGTTGAAATATAACACTGGAATTGTCACGTTATCAGACTATTCAATGTTACATTGATTGCCAAATATTTTCTTTTTAAACGTAAAACATAAATAACAGGCATTCGCTAAATAAAATCTGGGTCAATCTCGGTATCGTAGAACCGGCTGTTTTGGCTTTCTCTTTTGCTTCGCTCTTTTCGCTTTCTTCTTGACTATCCAGCCTCCACTAGACTTACGTTAAAACATAATGGATGTCATACCTTCGTTAAACTGGTCTAATTAGCTGGGATCGTTTTTAGTCGTCTCAACAGATTTTTGGTTGTTCTAAAGCTCTTCGTGGATACATGAGGATTCTGATCCAGTCCTAAGCATTTATCGCATGACAAAGTAAAGAAGTTTCAACTGTCAAAGTGGGACGAAGATTGCTGGGTTTAACCCTTAAACTTAATCGAATCTAAGTAAACAATATTTGGATTTTTTTTTACGAATGTTTGACAATCCTTTTTTTATATTTTCTTCAATTTCCGTTTCATTAATGCTAAATAATTCTATTTAATAAGATATGACTGATGCTTGTTCGTAAAAATTTTAAACTTTAGCAACAATTCACAAAGTACAACAGCTGTTTGGTGTTATCAAGACAAAGTCAGTGTTAAATGAACTTTTAATTAAAGAAAAAAGAGATCTCAATTATTAAAGAAAACCGTATTTAGTGAAAAAATATTCAATTTCAAGGTATGTCTACATATTTCATCTGATCTAAAAGTACTATACTTAATCTCACGTCTAATTTCAGTATTAAGCAGAATTTTTTTGTCTAATTTTTTATTGCTCTAGTTTCTCTGAAAACCAATCGAGGTCTAAGGGGCACCGAACAGCAGAGTTAATCTTTCTGTTGTGGATTTCTTGGCCAAAAATGTTCCACAAATAATTTTGTGAAATGCTGGCAAGATGACTGTGCTTCATTAGACATAATCCCGGTTCAGTTTCTTGAGAGTTGTTTGTAGTGGGAAGAGAGTTACTGTTTAACATATTGTTAGGTTTCCGAAATGTTAAAATCTTTTCACTTGAGAGATCAAAAGTAAAACAAATTCCAATGCGTATTGTTGTTTTTGTTTTGCTTTTGCTACTTCTGCAATAAGTCCTGAGTTTCATTCGAGAGCAAAGCACAATTCGATTAAATTCGTTTTTGTTTTTAAATAGTTTTTTATTTTTTCACAAACAACTTTAGGGAAACTTATCAATAATGTATTTCTTTGGGTAACCTAGCTCAAAGGTTCAATATTCGGCTTGACATTGCTCGGGCGCTAGAAAAATAAATTTTCTTTTATTCAAAAACCACAAATATTGACATTGTCCAGGAAATAGCGCGCAAGCACCTACATTTAATTAAAAAAAAAAACATCAGAATAAAATAATACGTCGAATTCCTCGTAAGTACATTTGTAGTATGTCGATAAAGCCATACAGTTTCGCAAAACATATGTATGTAGCGCGATTTGTATCAGAACGATATTGAAACTTCATCGAAGAATTGCTAATACGCCCATACATACATACACAATTACATACATACATATATTATGTCTGTGTGTGTATTTGGGTAGTCAGTCGAACTTTCACGTCGAGCTGGCTTTATTCGGTCAAAGCGCTTCGTTTACTTTCAAGCAGTGACTTCCAAGTCTTTCTCTAATTATAAATTATCGACAAGCAAACACACACATACGCACATACATAGCCACATGCATATGTAAGTATAATATGTATAAATACATATATAAATATTTTGAGTGTATAGCAAATTAGTTATTACGTATACATATGTATGTATGTGTGCATGTTTGTACGTCGGACTGCTGTGGCCATAACCATGACTTGATTTGAGGTCAATAAACGACTGAGAACGCCGCTATGAAAATCGTCACTTTAGTTGTGTAAAACGCGTAGATTGGAAAAAGTAGCGATGAGTCTTCGATGGATATCGCTATGATATGCTGTACCGTGCCGTGTTGTTGTGTTGCGTTGTATATTTGAGTTTGTGAGAATTTAAACAAATTTCGCAATACGAACAGGTTTTAAAACGTGCAACAAAACTCCAAACAATCGCCGCTTCGCTCACATTAGTTTTGTGCTCGTATGAAATGATTTTGTATGACTTTTGCTCATATAGATCATCACCACATATATAGCTATCATATGTGTGTATGTATGTTTGTATGTGAGTGCGGATATCCATAATATTTTCTCAGCGTTTTCAATGAATTGAAAATGAACATTCAACACTCGAATTATTTTATGAGCATAAATGTGAACACACAACCGCACACACAGATTAATTTGAGCATTTGTTCTCTTCTACAGGTATATATTTTCACATACATATATAGAAGTATTGCTTGTATTGGTGCTTACTGTGCAAGTGTGTTAGTGGCTTTGCCGGTAATGACTTGATCGTTTTTTTGTGGTAAGCAATTCGTAAGCGGCTGATGAGTGTCGGTCGTGATTTTAATGGTTAATAGGAAGTTTCTACCAGTACCTTGACGCACAGTTTAATACCCCTCTGCGGCGTTGACAGTACACGCATGAATTATGTGCCTATGTTTGTCTATATACGAGTACATTCTCTAAATTACATAATTTGGCGCTGCTCATTACAGTAGCCTCTAGAAGCTTTATTTGAGCACATTAACTAAAAACATGTTTCCCTGAAAATTGTTTACCAAAAAGAAATGAATTGCCTCACATTACTTATTTCTATAGGTGGTTTGTTCAAAATATTATGTATCTATGGTATATACATATATCGTTTTTTTTATTTTCAACATAACCTCCCTCTCTTTAATATAAAACGGCTTTCTTTAGAACTAATAGTTCATCGATGCTACAAATTAAAATTAAAATAGTTATAGGATGCTAACTCTACCTCTTCATTATTGAAAATTTCGCTTAACTAGCCGGTTTTTTCATATTTTCAGGGGTACTAACCTCACTTTACAGCTCATGGCAGTCTGTGGGCTGCTTTTTAACAGCCCTTTGGTCCTTGTTTAATCACCTCCTCTAGATATGTAAACAAAAGGCTATCAACAAGATCGACGTCATGTTAGAATGTAGAAAAGTAAAACACTAAAATTTGGTCAAAATGTGTTTTTTATTGTCATGCAGATAATTTTATGCCATTTATATTTTGAACAAAGTTTCGGCCAAATGTGCGCTGAATGCTATCTTCGAGCCCCTCGAGCGTTGTTGGTTGGTTGACGTAAACCTTTATCTACAATAGTCCCAGAGAAAATAAACTAGAAGTGTTAAATCGCATGATATTGTTGGAAATAGAGAACGCCCGCGTTAATTTAATCAAATTCCAGAAAAAAAATCGGTCAACAAAGTGTTATAACACTTGCTATCTATTGATGGTAACGGCATGTCCTACCTCAGTTCGAAAGAAATAAAGCACGATGATGCGGCCATTCCCCAATCCGCACCAAACGGTAAATTTTTTGCAATTGCGTTTCCTGATGCACACGAGGATTTGACTCACCCCAACAGCGAGAATTTTGTTTGTTGATGAAGGCATTAAGTCGAAAATGGGCCTCATCTGAGAAGATGATTTTTCGATGAACGTTTTTTTTCAAGAACGTAAATTTGCGTAATATTCTACAATAATTTCCAAGCGTTGTACTAAAGTGAAACGTAACATGATGAAATGGCAAACCTTACTAAATACGCTGACACAATTTGTTGTTAGTTGTTAGTCTAGCTTCTCCAGGTTCCAAAAATACTGACTTCGTTAAAAGGGGGTATTTTTATATATAATATTTTCATTTAATTCTTCATACATATTAACATTTTAATAACACCGCTTCCTTTGACGTTATGGCATCAAACGAGAAAAAATAACGCTACTCATTGGCATTTCTAGTTTTTGGAAGATAAAAAATTCAGGAAGGCGCTTACCCCTTCCCAATACAATCCCCACAGCTGTGAGCTGTAGCTAAGATTTTTTTACGAACACCATGAAGAGAGCATGGCCCAACTTTCTAGAACTGTAATGCTCTTAAGATGATTTTATATTTAATTGGATGACTCAAAAACCACTCTTTGCTGAAAATTGTGGTTTCTTCTATTTATGGTGCGCGGCTTGTCGGACAACTAGAGCCGCATTCAATCACAGAAAAGCTCTCGCAGGGTGAAAATATTTTTAATACTGGTTGGACTAACTATCAAAAGCCCTTTTTTTAGACTGCATTATACTTTAAACATTTGCTATTTTTGGAATTAAAGCAGGAACTCTTGCTGTCTCTGTCTATAACCGGTGGTTAGTTGTTATGACTACAGGTGAGAGTGTGGGATATTTGCTCTCACAAGATAACATTTAGAGTTTTCGTCAAACACCCGCCTCAAGCTTAAAATATCGAAAAAATTTTAAGAAATAAATAATTAAACGATCGAAATTGTATATTTAAATTTTTTTTTTTTATATTTCTTACTCTAACTTTTATTTGTTTTATTCCATCTAACTTCAACTGTACACTTTTTTATGATTTCAGGGTTTATTACGTACAGCCGAACAGCTGAAAATTAAAGGACTTTGTGAGACGGCCGAAAACACAGACGATCTGAACGACTCAGCTACAGCTACAATCACAGTGTCGGAGAATATACAACAAGCCGTTGTTGGAAATATCGTTAATGCTACAGTAGCAACGGGTCAACTCTCACCCAATATACCACATCAATCGCAACAGCAGCAACAACAGATCGCTACTAATACAGCGGTGCTCACGCATAATATTGGCAACGTGACCACTGCTAATACACAACAAATTGGTTCAGCCACTACGAATGTCGCCGGACAGTTAGTTAGTGCAGGCACATCGGTACAACATCAACAGATTGGACGTAAATCTCGTGTACGTAAGCGTTCAAAATCTCCAGATATACAACAACAAGTACAGAGTACACAACAACCACAAACAATTTTAATACAAAATCAAAATCAGGCCGCTATCGTTAGTTTACAACAGACGTCGTCTGGTAATTATATACCGGTATCCGGTGTACAAACGGTAAGCACTAGCGGTGGTGGGCAACAACAGACGGTAATCACCGGTGACGATTCGGATACGGATAGGCCGTCGAAGATCTGTAAGACAGAAACAGCGTCAGCGTCACCTGCGTCCAGCGCATCTGGTGTATCGGGCACGAATAATGCTGGAAGCGTAACGACTGTTGCAGCACCAGGCACAGCGATTGTTACACAGATTGTAGTAGCACGAGACGGCAAAGATAAAAATATGACTAGTTTAGGAATGGGAATGGTGAGTACATGCAATAACTGTCATCGATAATATTGGTTGTGAAATTATAGTTTATCAGTATGTTTTTGAGATACCATAAAGTGGGTGAATAGTATTCAATGTTGAGCAATTTTTGAGAGCGAGAGAGTAATTGAGTTATAATGAAAATATAGTTAATCAGGGGTGTTGTAGAATCTGATAGTTGTCGGAAGCAGAATTGAAACCGATAAAAAATGTAGTAGGTGTCATGAAGTCAGATATTATTCGAAACCGATACAATTTCTATCGGTTTTGGGTGTCACGGAAACCAATTTGATCGGCTTTGATATCAGAAACAAAGCAAAAGGATATTCGCTGACAGATTTGAAATTTTGGTTAAGAAAATAATTTATACAATATTATTGTTACGATTTAATCTATCGTTATTTCTAGAGGGGAAAACATAAGAATAAAACAAAAAGTGTCATAATTATTGAATTTATCGAAAAAATACAGATATTTTAAGAGGACAAAACGTAACCAACGTAATTTAACACCGAAATGCGTCTTTATTCAGTCGATAATGTGATATAAATCTGTAAAGTAAGCATGTATATAAACATACAAGTAAATGCAAACCAAATTTCACATGCGACTTCCCTAGTGCATCAAGTAATTATTTCTTACGAATAAATAAAAGCTAAAATAGCTGAACTCATTGTAAATTTTAGTCGATTTTTATTCGTTACTTCCAATATATCAAACGCTTTTAAATTTACTCATTTTCAAGTTTTGTCACAATAGTAAACAGCTGATTCGAATATTCGTTTTGTATATATTCGAAAAGACGTAAATCCAATCAGATTCTGTGACACGATCATTTTCTATCTTGGTAAGAATAGACAGATTAACAGAACTGTAACGGTCTAATCATACCAAATGAAGAGAGATAATTTTACAAGAAATATATTTAATTATAGTACTCGATATAGCGATAATTTCTGATTCAGGTATAGAGATTGGGAGAGGGAACTGTGGTGATCATGATATTGAATTTGTTGTCAGGTTTAAACCAAGACTCAAAAGCTTTAGTGCCTATTCAATCCAAACATAAATACAATGATCGATAAACCTATCAAATTTTTTCGTCCGAAGGGATTCTCGTTCTCACTTATTTACATACATATATATATAGCCAAGATTTCCTTGACGTTCGCCTCTCAATAAATATCTTTTTTTCAATTCTGAGTATATGTGCTTTGGAACAAATCGGATATACTATACTTTTTTCTACATAGTCTTCTGAGATATATTCCGTTATAATTGGAAGAGGCAGATTAATATTTTAATGGTTCGGAAAGCGTACCTTAAGCTTTCTGTAATTAAACAATTATTTTCACTTATTTTTCAACAATCTGAAAACCGGAATTTCCATGAGTTTTCATCAGTTTTGTTAGTCTGTTAGGGTCAAGTTTCTGGTACCTATCGCTGCCTTGAATATATCTTAACTTTAGACTTATCCGTAGTTTTAAAGAGTTCCATCACTCGGTCAAGGTATTTTAATTTGATCGTTTTAGTACTCCATCTCATCTGAGAACATTAGTTACTTGTGTCCTATTTATGAAATGTTTAGAATTGGATTTAGCCATAAAAAATTGTTATTTATTTGCGGGCCCCACTTATTAAATTTTTTTTCAAAACACTGCTGCTACATGTTATTTATGTATAAATTTATTATTGATTTATTTATGAATAAACATTTAAATATATTTATTTCATATTTATTTTAGAATGGCGGAATTCTTGGAGTGCCAATGGGCTTTTTAGATTTTGCACCAGAACCACCAGCACCCTCAGCCACACCTGTAACAGTAACGGAGCATGTCGATTTATCATGTAATCCAAATACCGACACTCGAGATTTATCAAGTGAGTTTTCGGTACTCTATCCTATTATCGTACATATGTATTTTTAAAGGCAACACGACTTCTTGGGCCTACTAAATACATTGTAAATTAGTTTTTAGACACTACCGTTGTTGAAAACTTCAGGAGATTATTATAATCAATAAAATTAATAACAAAATTTAAACGAATGCAATTGCAGACCCCACCGAAGCACTGGACATCGACAATCATTTAGCCCAACACATGATTCAACGGCTTGATCAATCTCCGATGCATGCTATTCATCATCAGACAGGCGATGAAAGCAATTCGAATTTAGTTCAGCATATTAAGAGTGAGGTTATTGATGCGAAACAGCAACAACAAGTACAGCAACAGCAACATCATCAACAGCAACAACATCAATTGCATGCTCAACAACTCTCACAAAATCAAGCACAGCAACAGCAACACCAACAGCATCAAGTACATCAACAACAAACAGCACACTCACATTCAACACATGTCCAACAACAAGCACAATCACATCAGGACCTAACCGGAGCAACAGTAATGGAAATCGATCCAAGCCAAATAAAACATGAACCCGGAATGATCATAACACCGGAAATCGTTAATATGATGACAACTGGGCATATGGGTGAGTGAACGTTTTATGTAGTTACATTTCTTAAGGGTTATTAAATTTTAAATAATGATGATCGCATGAATTCTAAGCCGCCTACGCATGTTGGGTTAATACGTGAAGTATTTCGTGTCTAAAACTGACTTTGAGGTTTGACATTGTCTAACGAGGAGTGATCGTTGGTGAAAAACGATCCTTCCGATTTTAGTCGAACCGACTGTCGTGTCGAGTAATGCGATATCTATTTATACTCAACTACAGCGGTCTGCAATTTATCTATAAAAAAGAAAAATAATTTTAATAGTGTTACTTTAAAGCAAACACAAAATACTTTTATTCGCGATTTAAGAAATTATCTCAATACTCTTAACCTCTGGTCTCTTATAATCATACCAATAATAATCCAATATTAATATTCTATTTGAATTTGTTGCAGATATGTATAATTCTGATACAAGTGAAGATTCAATGATGATAGCAAATGGCTCACCAAACGATCAAACTGAGCCACATTATACTAATTTGGACCAACAACACGTGGATGGTAAAGGTCAGTTTAATGGTCCCAAAACTTGGACTCAAGATGATATGAATTCAGCTTTAGATGCATTGAAGAATCAAAATATGAGTCTTACAAAAGCATCAGTTACATATGGTATACCATCAACAACATTATGGCAACGTGCCCATCGTATGGGCATCGAAACGCCAAAGAAGGAGGGTGGTACGAAATCATGGAATGAAGATTCTTTAAATAATGCTTTAGAAGCCCTACGTTCTGGGCAAATATCAGCAAATAAAGCGTCCAAAGCCTTTGGTATACCATCCTCGACATTATATAAAATTGCGCGACGCGAAGGTATACGCTTGGCGGCACCCTTTAATGCGGCACCCACAACGTGGACACCGGAAGATTTAGAGCGTGCTTTAGAAGCAATACGAGCTGGTCATACGTCCGTACAAAAGGCCAGCGCTGAATTTGGCATACCAACGGGTGAGTTAAAAGAAAATACATTTTTTTTATTTCTGAACTTATAATAATAAAGAGTTTTAATTGGAAATAGAGGTAATGAAGCCCAAAAAGTTTACTAGATCCATTTTCAGTTCTAATTCTCGAGCTAGTTCTCATATATTTTACTACATTATTAAAAATATATACTGCTTCTCCCAAAGGCACCCTATACGGTCGTTGCAAGCGTGAAGGTATTGAGTTATCACGCTCGAATCCAACACCATGGTCGGAAGACGCAATGAACGAAGCTTTGAATTCGGTTCGGTATGTTAAAATATATTTTTTCAATAATGTTTTTTATAATTGTTCAACATTTTTTTTTTATATCAAATGTCTTCTCTTCTTCATTTCAGCATCGGTCAGATGTCTATTAATCAGGCCGCAATTCACTATAACCTTCCCTATAGCTCTTTGTATGGTCGCTTTAAGCGTGGAAAGTATGACGTTACTAATACCAGTAGCACCTCCATTAATAATGCATCAGGAAACACTTCGGGAAGCATCGAAATTATCGAACATAGTCAAGAAAACTCGGTGAGTCAAAATTTCATGCACAAAGCATGTATTGGTAATCAATCTTCTTTTTTCGTGAATGTAAAAGGCGTCTTTTTGTTTATTTTTTTTTTTTTTAATATTCAAAAATAATCTGTTTTTTTTTTTAATTAAATTATTCAAGACTTCAAGCTATACGCAGCATATAATTTAGATGTATGGCTGATAAACAGCTGTTTTGTGTGAATACCAACATAAGTGATTGAAAGGCATTAAATGACACTTTAAATTAAGTAATATTTAAAAAGTTTTAAGTTTCTCTGTAAAGCTTTGGACATGGTAGTTATTTCCATTCCAGTTTTTGGAATATTGCTGTGATAGTAGTGTAAAGCATAATTTTTTTGACAGTCATTCAGGTTTAGAAGATGCTATGTGATAATAGTCTAAAATTATAATTTAGCTAAGTCAATAATGAAAACTTAACTGTAAATTGGTTAGGTAAGGTTGATAATGGCTATTTCGGCTGAAACACTTTAAGCAGATTTCTAAAGCACAAGAGTCCATAGTAACACCACGCCTAAAAGGATGCAATACCAGCAACAAACAAAACTCATCACATCGATTTTTTAGTCTAGTGCGATTACTCAACGACATCATACACATTACATTATTTTCTTAGCGAATGCGTCAATAACTAAATTATAAAGTTACATATGTTTCAGCAACAGTTCCAGTATAGTCCGTCTCCACATCAACAACCTCAACATGGCGGTCAAACTCAGTCGCAGACACCTCAACATTTAACCCAACATGTTGTACACATTCAGCAACCACAGACTCATCATCAGCAACAACAAGTACATGCTCAACAACAGCAACATATCCAGCAGCAGCAAGATGTTGTAACATCCAGCAGCCAGGTGGCACATAGCAGTGCAGCTGCTGGGCAGCAACAACAGCAGCAAATTCAACAGATCTATCATCATCACAGCACGCCGGAAAGAAGTTGAGAATCACTGCAACAAGCAGCTAGCAACAGCAACTCAACAACAACTAACAGCAGCAACAATAAGCGGAAGAAAAACTCGAAAGGTAAACGTTGAGAGTGGCGACACACCAGTGATGTGTTTTTGCGTATGAAGGTTCGCAATAAGAAAGTGAAACAACAACAACAACACCAAGAAATACGAAGGAATAAACAAGTTACTAAAAGAAATTTAAATGCGAACAGGGCAAAAGGAGAACGTCAAAAATTTCAATTAAAATTATTTGCGGGCATTTAAGCATTGAATTTGTTTGACAAACACTTCGTTTTAAACCGAATTAAAATATATGACGAAAATCGATGGGGCTTTTTTGGAGAACGATGAATGATGCACATACATAATAATGATAAATGATTTGAATTAGTAACTAATAGTGAAAGCGTTAAACATAACAAATACTTTCCTATAACTAAACAGATGACCGAAGGAGTGCTGTCTGCCACTCCTTTAAGGGAAAAGTTTTAGTAATACACAAAAAAAAAAAAGAAAAAAGAAAAAAAAAATGGGGGTGTACAATGAATTGAGGGAGTATAATAGTATTCACGAATGCCAAGTGATTGTCCACGGGTTTGACCACAAAAACGAAATAAAGTTTTATTAATTAACTGATGTTGAATATATCCTTCTAAAAATCAAATGGCCTATCCTTTTGCATAAATAGAAGAAAACGGATTTGAAAAATGAATTGTATTTTTGATAATTGAATAGTAGCAAAACAATATTGAATAAATATATAATATTATATATAGTAGATGATGCACTTTTCGGACAAATAACGTACGAAGAAGAGTCAAAGTTAAAATTTTTTGGAGTCGTGACAAAATTATAAATAAGTTCTTTCACCACTAGATTTAGTGCTAAAAAATAGTTTTTATCTTAATATAAAATTTACGGTTTTGTCAATCAAAACTAGTAATAAATAAATAAAAGTAGGTTTAAATGTATCACATTTACCGAAGTGAATTAAAAAATACACATATAATTGAAATAGAATTATTCAAATGGTTTGAGTTGATCTTTTGGCTTTTCGTTGAATAATATTATGTATGCGATATACTTACATATGTATGTAGATGCCTAAAATAATGTTGATAATTTTTCTTGTAACTAATAGATAAGTTTTCTTTTGTTCCAAACAACAACAAAAAAATGAAACATTCATTGAACAGAAATTTGATATTTTTAATTTCAAAATCTATATCACATGCATAAAAACAAAACACACACACTCACACACCGAAAAAAAAATAAAAGATCTTTTTAATGAATTGCTAATGCAAGGATGAAATATCAAAATTTTTAATTTATATATGTATATAAAATATATATATACATACATACATAGTTAAATGCAAATACAAAGTATACAGAAAATATTAAATAATCACGACACATCATGCTATATAATAAATCATTATAAATTTAAACATTAATATTAAAAAAAGAGAAACATCATCAAACAGAAATTTGTTGCTGCTGCTTTGAAATATTGAATAGTAAGAATACATCCTTGTGGTAAGAAAAGTCCACGATGATAATCTAATGTTAAACAGACTAAAATCATAAAATAAAACAAAAATTAAATGTAGTTATTATTACTATTATTAAAGCATTCATATTTAAATAGTATGCAATATAAAGAAAAATAATAATAAAATGCGAACCTTTTAACATGGCAAGTGTAGTGTACACATTAAACCGGCAACTTCGAAAACAGGACCTAAAAATTTTATATTTTAGCTCATCAAAACAGTTTACGTTTCTGGTGTTGTTACAGGGTCAATTTATTTTTATTTAATTATTTTATTTAATTTCTTTACACATGGTAAATTGGCGTACTGATTTGCAGTGTAATTTTTATTTCTAATTAGTTAGCCACTTCATTCAAGTGCATTCACATTGCTACAAATTCGATTTAATTCACATACACACATACATATATCCTATGGAATATCATTAGGTTAACACATAATTTATTTAACGTTAGAGCTGTATGCAGTCTTCGGTGAGCGCTTGCAAAGCAAGTCGAAATTTTAAAAATGCAGTTTTTTAAATGCACGCTTATATTTCGAAACTAAAAGCTATACAAAATTATCTAAAAACGAAAAACTTCAACAGAGGGTTATGTTAACTGCATGAAAATATATCGCAAACGACCCATATGCACATATTCGACTATCTGGTTGTTGTGACGAGAATACATAATATCAGCTCGATTGGCGGAATAATAACAATCATTAGCGGCTTAATTATATACACTGATTATTGAAGCGACAATTCAGATATATGGCTGATTTTGTTCTTTGGTTAGAAAAGGGAAAAGTGAGTTTGTAACTTTTTATTTTTAGAACGGTTTGGATTCTAGTTGCCGAATATTGCTATGAAATGATAATTACGTAAACTGTGTACATAAATATATTATGGCAAATAAATATGGATGTAAAAATCACATGACTTCATTATTTTTCGCTTTGGTTTATACTCGTGGTTAGGCTTGTCTTGAGCCGAATTGGGAATCAAGAAAAATCAAAAGCATTTCTCTCTTTCAGGCCAAATTAAATCTGTATTTAAGTATATAAAAATAATTATAAAGACAAAATGGCTGCTACTGGGCCAATTTCGGAATCACTTGTTACAGGTGACGGCAACGGTGATTCGAGGAACTCTGGTTATCTGAATGGCGTAGTAGTGTCAAACAATGTTCAATTTTAGACCGTGCAAAACTCTGCGAGCATCTGCAGTATCGCAACTTGGATTGGATCGGAAAACATAATTTTGCTATTCTACTAAACAACAATGTTATTAGGATCCTAAAGTGTACTTTAAGCCAAACTATTTTTCTACTCAGCAAATTTAATTGTTATTTTTATTCTAAAACTTTATCAGGAGAAACTGTTAAATAGATCAACTCGAAAATGTTAGTAAAATTTTCGTATGCATTGTTACAATAGAACATATTGATGACAAGCTCAATGTCTTCTTCAGTTAGTAGTCTACTAGACTTTGGTAACACTACAACGCTAAATATTTTCGAGGATTCTTTGTCGCCTTCTACAGCGTTCGAGTGCATGTTGTTTAATACATTCATCTTATTAAATAATGTAGCAATACATAGCATAACAAGTTTTAATGGAGTCCCGCTTGACAAATCTTTACACATTTCATTTGGAATGTGTGTATTTTCATTTTCCATTAAACTAAATGTATTTAGATCCAATACAATTATATGAGGTTTGACCGCCCACCTGTGTATATCAAACAATATTTTAATAACTCCAATGATATTATCACTACATCTGAAAAAAATAAAAACATTAATAAGTTATTTCGATCGTAATTTCCCATAAAATTGTTTTATTTACATAAAAATGAACCGGCGCAGGCTTTGCTTATTGTTGTACACCTGCACTCCTGCTTGTTCCATTAATGGTAACAGTTCAGGCGATGACGTCGGCCTTGTAATAACTAGGACTGTTTTGCCAAATGGAACTAACTTTAATAACGGCTAAAAACAAAATTGTTTTAAATATTACACAACATATGTTTTATTTTAAAGTAGGCAATACTTACACCATACAGTTCATCATCATATTCATGATTTTTTGGCAGAAATAAAAAATTCTTTATTCTATCTGTAGAAAAATTCATATCTTGATAAAAATATGTGCCTACTTTAACTAATGTAAATAAATAAAAATTAATTGGTTTTAGGCGTGTAATACGCTTTTACTTATTTATGTATATCTCTCAACTAAGATAAATAAAAAGTTTATACATTGATGTAAACAAACAAATAGAATGGTTGCCAGCATTTTAAAAAGCTGTAATTCAACGGTTAATGTCGGAATCAGAAATAAAAAGGACATTGTATGATCGGCATAATTCCCCAAATAGCAAAATATTAAAATATGCAATATAATTTATCTCTAATATAAATATAAGAATTAAATTAACTATTTTAATTTAAAAGTGAATCGGATGTTGCAAATTCGATAATTATCGATAGCGATTCAATCATCCCTATATTGCTAGGTTGCAACGTATACCATTAGTACCAAATTGTCATGAAATGAAATTGTTTAACTGACATCGAGAAGACGCAGAATCTTATAAGCACATACAGTTTTTAAACAAATAATATTCTAAGATAATATTATTAAATGGATATTGCCGCGTTGTCAGATGAGACATTTAACGCAATTGATTGGATAAATGTAAACTACAATAAATATGGAGCGGAACAAGCAGACGGATGTAGGGATAAAAGTACTTTGCCCGATAATAACGACGCGTTGGCGATGAGTTTTATTGACAAATACGTTTCCAAATTACATTTGTATATCCAGCAAGTACACTGTGCTGTTGAAGAAACTGGTCAAAAATTGGTATCTGGTATGCCCCGTGTAATTAAGGAAGCTATTTTACTACAAGCTGAAGTGGAGGAATTAAAAAAACGTATGCAAGCAATGCGAAAGGAAATGACGGATGTGCAAGAGGAAACTGGCGATTGCATGGCTGCATTGGAACGTTTAAATACCATTCAAAGTAAATTACAAAAAGCTAAGGAATCACTGCAGGAATCCGATGGCTGGGGAAATTTAATAAGTGAATTGGAGGATTGCTTTGAGCATAATAACATGAAGGTACGTAGGTAAATAACTATTATGTATATTCATACGTAAAATCTTTTTCATTTTCATTATATAGGGTGCCTTTGAGAAATTGCTTAGCTTGCAAAAGTCCTTACAAGTACAAGAGCAATTACCTGGACATGCTGAGCGGCTCACGCAAGTGGAAGACTTTAAAAATCGCTTAGAAGCTTTAGCTTCACCAAATGTAGTTCAGTGTTTTTCTGAAGGCGACTTAGAGCAGACGAAGCAATACGTAAATATTTTCGATGGCATCGGACGTATCTCACAACTGGAACAATACTACCGAGCCGTTCAAAAAAACTCCTTGCAACAGAAATGGAAGCAAATTTTGGACGTGCAAGCGGCGGAAAATATAATGCAACACCAGTTTCTTTCAATTTTCTATACAAGTTTAGTGGAGCATTGTCAACAGAAAGTAAAATGGTGTGCGGATGTGTTCGCTTATGAACAAGGAAATTTTCAACCAATCATCGTAGTGATAGAATTATTACCAACATTACAACCAACACGTGAGAGTCATGTATTTCAACTACTTAAAGCGTGTAACGAGAGACTAGAACTTTTGGAAGAGTGCTCGCAGGCGAATCACAAGTTTCTGTCTCATTTAACAGCATTCCTAGAGCAATCGAAAATCGAATTGTCTAAAGAAATGCAATGTCAGATAGTGCAAGCTGTGTACGGTTATTTCCACAAATTTATAGACCAATACCCACGTATAGAGGAAACACATTTTTCAGCACAAATAGATAAAATATTAGTAAGCCACGCCTCAGCAGGAGATTCCGTGCGTCATTTGGAGAATTGTAATCAAAAAATTTTTGATTGGCTGAATGAATCTTGTGAACGCTGTAAAAATATAACAGATGATTTGGGATTGTGTAAACTTATTGAAATTATGAGTGGAATTTTAAAGAAAATTTTGGACAATTTCTCAAAAACTCAGCGTCAAATCGCTCTGAGTATTGGACATGCTACAGAAAATTGGTTAGCACTGCAATGTGCGATGTCACTTCTACAGTGTTTGGCGGATTTCCAAATTAAACTGCATAAATTCGAAAAACATATACAAACCCGATTGATTAAATTAAAAGAAAATATTGTTACCGTCAAAACGGATAATAACTACAATATAGGTAGCATTCTGGATAATCAAGAACAAACAAGTTTATTAAATACCATAGAAAGGTATCAACAAAAATTAGTAGAAACCAGTGGCGCGTATTCATCATCTTCAAGATTATTCGCTTCAATATACGACCATGTGAAAATACATTGTGAGGAAACGCATGACATTGCTTTAAATGTTTTGTTAAAACCAGTAGAGGAGCATCTTGTAAATATACAACCATCACTGAACTTAAATTCTGATTCGTTATTGCCAGCTAATATGCCGGAATTCAGTTTCGTACCACAAGAATGTATCACTCAAATTGGGCAATATTTGCTAACACTGCCGCAACACCTGGAACCGTTATTATTTACACCATCTCCGTTACTCAAACAAGCTCTTGAGATTTGTAACGTTAAATACACCCAACCTGTTCCATGTGCCGACATATTGTTGTCTTTAGTAGTGGAGCAATGTTGTCAACTCTATCAGTCTCAAATATTGCAAGTTAAAGCCCTGTCGTCCACTTCTTCTAAACAATTTGCTGTGGATATTGAGTATTTGTCCAATGTCGTAGAAGAACTAGGTTTGTCTATTAGTGTTGGTTTGTCGCAAATTTTGACATTACTTAAAGCTGATCCAGAGAATTACTTGGCTTTAAGCGGTGGCTGTGAACCGCGTTTAGTAACGGCCATTCGACAAATGCGCAATATTGTTTCAACTCAATAGCCGTTCTGTGTAGTATTCAAAAAGTGAATAGTGTTTATAATATTATATGAAAATATATATGTATTGCTATACAGACGCAATTCAGAAAGCTTTGAAATAATTTTAAACAACTTTGATTTGATTAAGTAAAGTTTATTTTCAAATTATTATAAATGTACATATACACATTTAGTCATTTTTATGTACTTCAAAAAATAGTAACTTTACATGCTCAAATATTGCAAATATTTTAATATATGTTCCAAATAACAAATAATTTAAAATGTATAGTGAAAAATAAATGTATAACAGTTGAGCCAGAAGTATTCTACAATAACAAAACTAAAGCTTTTGTTAGTGCAAAATTAAAATTAAAAATATTGCCAGCTGTTAAATTATCATTATTTTGATATTTAATATCTATAATTTTAGATAATAAAAAAAAAAATCACACATAAATTTATTCTTTTACTTAGATATATTTATTTTTGGCTTCTCTTATTAATGTTTGTATTCGAGTAGTTCGTTTTATTGCATATTAATTATTTAATAAATTTTTTAGTTAACTTTACTGGCGCTATAAACGAAATACATAGTGTAAAGTAAGCATTACATGTCAACCATGACAGCACTTGTTTACTTGTCAAAAGCACAAATGCAAAACATTGAACAAGTGTGGGATTATAATGGAAGTCAGTTTAGGTTACTTTTCATAAGCACAATTTAACAACAAGTACAATGGGAAATAGATTTCTCCTCTGCATACCTAAGTACACAGTTTTCAGTGGAAATAAAGTACATTAACATAAGATAGGTATTAAAATTTCTAAAGTGCGCTTCGTATTAGGCAAAATAAAAGACAGTGAAAGAGTGATATTGACCTTCTGTTGGTAGCTTGATATATAAAATTGATAAATTTTCGCGCGAGGTATACCATACAAGTACATACATAAGTATATGTAACTGTTTAGCAAAAGATGCATATACTTGGTTCTTGTATATGCATACCTCGTAGATCTTTGTGGAAAATTTGAAGATTTTTGGTCAAAGTAATATTGAATAAGAGTTACCGTTTATGAGTTTCATTCATGGCAGAAGTGCGTGATTTAGCAACAATAATGTGGAGTGATGCGAAAAATTGACAACAAAATAATAGGGATACAATAGCGACAAATAACGGCTTAATCAATATCTATTACACATACTTACTTTTCATTATGAAATAAATTTGAATTTACTACAAGGCCCTACACTAATTTAGTAAATGTATATTTTAGGGCCTTCAGTGGAGGAGGCCTCAAAAATTAAATTGAAAATAAAGCTAAGTAATTTGAATTCTGCAGAATTCTGCGGCTACAACAACAACAACAACTACGTTACTTGAAAAATGTGTGCAAAGAGTGACAAATATAAATTTATGTATACACATAAATTATTGAAAAAATCGACTTTCCGCTCACGGATTTGTAATTTTCGCGTTAAAATAAGGCGATTTAAAAAAAAGTATAATTTTTGATCCTCCTTCGTTGGGGCCCTAAACTGTACATTTACCGTATGTTTTATAAGTGCATTGTTATTGAAGTTGCAAAAGTTTTAATAAATATTTGCTGTATAGAGCTTTTATAAATAGTGCGCCATGCAAGAGCGTCATAAAACAATAAACCTGTAATTTGTTTTGTGCACAATATATACCTATGAATGTTATCTAAACACCTAAAAATTATATGTAGGGGTGCGTACGAAATATTTTTTAGATACACTTTAAATATTTATTTCCACTTCTACATAATAAAAAAGTCAGTAAAAAACGGCATAGCTTTACCGCATACATACAGACTTTTCGGCGCATCCGTTTAAGTTTGGCAACTGTGATATAAATACACACGCACTAACATATACATAGGTATGTATGTACATTTATCGTAAAATGTTGACATAGGCAAGGCTGCAGAGGCCACCGCAAGACAGCTGATACAAATCAAGCACATTGACCTTAGTTACAGTTAGCTACTTTCTTAACATTATTTTTGCGACATTTGTAAATAAAACATTACGAACTTTAACTTTGTACACGAAGCTTTTGTATTTGGAATTGTGAAACGCTTTCTTAAAATTAATGTATTTGTCACTATGACCTTTAAAGTGTTGTTTGAAGTGGTGAGGAAAGTAGTTCCCAGAATACAAATTAGATTTGATTAAGCAGAATTGTAAGCGAGTAATTTTTTTGACTGCTGCCGCCAGACGAATGGCATGCATAAATATGATATTTAATTGAAAAAATTTGTATCAAAGACGTACAAAAGAAATACATACACACATGCATATTTAAATAAGCACAGCTCGTTATATTTCTTTTTTATGTAGAATATTGACTCACCGTCAAACCTAATTTGGTGTGGATAATGGAATGTAGCGAAAAACAGGCGCTCCTTTGGTGTTATTGTTTTCGTTGGCTGTTTAAGTTATATTTGCAGTGAATAACTAAAGGTAGACAAAAATCGGAACAAAAATATGTTTTTATTAAATACCTGCTTGGAATTTTTAAAACACACCTAAATGTATATACAATTGAAAAAGGAGCAGCCTAATCTAAAATAGTGGTGGGACAAATATAGTGTAAGAAAAATATGTGCTTTTCTTTATGTTGGTGCAAAAATTAAAAATTACATGTTTTTTGGTAGCAGCATATATTAAAGTTACAGTTTTTGTAGCGGTTTGAAACATTTCCAGGTGGGAGAGATAATATCTGTGTACATACGTCTAATACGATCTGGCTGTATCGTGGCTTCTATCTGCTTCAAGACTGAAAAAAGATAATAGTAATGAATGGATCAGTGTGTAAAAGTAGACTCGCTATCATAATGTGCATGAAAGCAATATACACTGTATGTGCATATGTACTTTTCAATACGTGCATACAAAAATATAATATACATACAGACGCAGAATTAAGGCCCTTGAATCCATGTTTCCGAATAGGGATTACATCGCCTCATTAGCACCTAGCAGTATATTGGAATTCATCAATGTGCTAGGGCCCAGTGAGTCGTTAGGACTTATTATATTCTATAATTATTATATTCTATAATATACATATGTATATTGCAACAAAAGATTTCAGCAACAAACTTCAATTTTGTTTCGAGAAATTAAAAATTGTTAGCAAGTTTACAGTAGTTCTGATAGTTTTTTTTTTAGCTGAAATATAACGGTAATTCACCGCTACAATGTCACTGAAATCAGCAACCCCGGTGTTTTTTACAACATTATTGTATATAAATAAAAAGAAGTGTCAAATTGATCCATCAATATCTGAAATATGGTGTATCTCAGGATTGAACATTTTTGATATGTTTTGTTAGAGGCACAAAAATTAGCTGATTATAACTCCAAACGCACTTACATTATTTTGAAAGTTTAAAACTATCTATTATGTTAGCAGTACTTTTACTTACAGCATTATTATGTACATATAACTCATATATTTGAAGAATTTGATACTGATATACATACATAATTATAATCAAGTCATGATAATATTTGTTGCCGTCAAATCATATATTCAATGGGATCATCAAACTCAAAATTTCCACATTCTCGAGATCACGATCAAATCAAAATTGCAATAAATTTTTCACGTTTTTTAATATTTTTTTTTAAATATGCTTACAATATACATAAATATTCATAGTAGTTTTATTCCCCGTTTCAGCCGTCAATTAAAATTTCGACAAGTCGGAGAACGAAAACCATTCGAAAATCAGCGTTCAAAGTCAAGTTTATTATTCGAGGGATTTATTGTTGGCACGGACTCAAACGATAATTACAAGACAGAATCTCCATCGCAGCGGGGTATATCATTTCATCTACATAAATTATACTCGACAGTATTAACAAATCTAAACTGCCGCATCAATTCACATTCGAAAGCGCTAGAACTAATAAAGTCGCAAAGTTTATTAAAAATGTCCACATTAAACGGAGTACCTTTAACTATTTTACATTACAACGATGTCTATAATATAGAACCAAACTGCGGAAAGGAGCCCGTAGGAGGCGCAGCACGCTTTTGCACTGCACTAAAGTCGTTTGCTCATCTCAATCCATTGATACTTTTCAGTGGTGATATTTTCTCTCCTAGCATGTGTAAGTTGAAACAATTTTTATAAATGTGTCAAAGAAAAGTCACAATTTTTGTTCGTTTATTTAGTAAGCACTTTCACTCAGGGCGAGCAAATGCTTCCAGTATTAAGAAGAACGGGCACCCATTGTGCTGTGTTCGGAAATCACGATTTTGGTGCGTACATTTCTCTCTATTTATTCTCTCTCTCTCTATATCTATTATAAATTCTATATTTTAACACACTTCCAGATCACGGCTTGGACGTACTGGTGAACTTGATAAAAAATACCGATTTTCCCTGGCTCATGTCCAATGTGGTTGACAAAGAAACCGGTAGACCTCTGGGAGGTGGAAAAATCACGCATACCTTGTTACATAATGAAATGAAAATCGGTCTAGTTGGACTTGTCGAACGAGAATGGCTGGAAACCTTACCCACCATAGATCCAAATGAAGTTACCTATATCGACTATGTTGATGCTGGTACAAAATTAGTAACTCAGTTGCGTAAAGAAGGTTGTGATATTATAATCGCTTTGACGCATATGAGAACGCCGAATGATGTTAAGTTGGCGGCCAATTGTTCCGGTATAGATCTCATTCTTGGTGGCCACGATCATGTTTATGAGATTAAGGAAGTTAATGGAGTGAAGATTGTTAAGTCTGGCACTGATTTTCGACAATTTTCGAAAATCACTTTGGATAAGGCACGTAATGAGAATGGCAAACTTCTGGTTGAAGTTGAACCAGTGAATGTTACATCAGATTTTGCCGAAGATAAAGAACTTAAGGAGGAACTGGAAAAATACTCAGGTAAGGAGCTCTAAATATAAATGAAATTTCTTAGTACCTGGATAAAAATCTACATCAAACGTTACAGTATCGCAGAATCTTATGTCGCAATTTCGATTGTCAGATTGTGAAACTTTATTTTAATGAAAATAGGCTTGAGCTATAAATTGAGGTTAAACTCCCGTGGAACTCTTTTCCAATTTCCTTAACGATACCTTGAGAATTTCGACGAAATTGGTTCTATTTGTTCTTAAATAGGTTTTAAAGTGATTTTTTGTTATGTATTATATATGCTTTAATCTTTTTTCCCTTTAAAATTTCCAGAGGTTGTTGAAGCTAAAATGACTGAAGTGCTGGGCAACTTCAGTGTGGAATTGGAAGGTCGCTTTTCCGTCATTCGCACTCAGGAAACGAATTTAGGCAATTGGGTATGCGATGTTGTACTCGCTGCTACTGGCGCGGATGTGGTCATAATTAACGCAGGCACGTTTCGCTCAGATCAAATACATCCTCCGGGACCATTTACCATGCGTGATTTAGTTAATATTATACCGATGCGTGATCCTCTCATACTTTTAAGTATTACTGGTAAATGTTTGTGGGAAGCTTTGGAGAATGCCGTCTCAGCTTATCCGAAATTGGAAGGCCGATTTCCGCAAGTAAGTGCAAATAACGGCAATACATAGTTAGATAATATTTGAAATCGTTTTTTTATTGACATATATGTTTGTATATATTAATTGTTAGGTAAGTGGCATGACATTCGCCTTTGATCCCGCCAAACCACCAGGGCAACGTATTGACCCACGGCTAATACAAGTTGCCGACGAATTAATTAATTTACAACAAATGTACAAAATATGTATTAAAAGCTATATACATAACGGTTGTGATGGCTTCACAATGTTTAAAAATGCTCAAATTTTGGTATGTCTAATAGTGAGATATTGGCCGCAAATTTTCATGAAATTAAAATTGATTTGAATTGCTTTTCATTTGTTAGATCGACGAAGACCTATGCCCTGAACTGGGTCTGACCATACAAAATCATTTCAAAGCAATCAATATACGCAATGAAAAAAGCGATCATCATACCAAACATCGACAATCCTTAGTTACGCTCTCGCGGCGACACAGTATGGTACAAATGCTCGAGAATTTACATCTAGATGGACCATCGCCCATAAGAAAGCTATCTGTTGGCCATCAGGCGAAATCTATAGATCATCATACCAACAGTAAAGCTCCAAAGGTGTGAAATGTTTCTAATATTACAAATGCAATATACTAATTTGTCTGTATGTATGCTTTTTTTTTAAAGATGTTACGACGCGCCTCTTTAGACGATTTGGAGCAGGCCAGTTGCGAATTGGCTCCGATTGTGCAGCAACGTATCATTCAAATTCAGGATGAGGAACACTACAAACACTTACTGTTGAAAAGTGAATATTTTATGAAGAATTCTGTGATTACCGAAACAGAAGAGGAGTAAAAAGACCGTTTCCACCACAGTCGGGTCTACGTAACCGGAACGGACCCGGATTTATTCCGGCCAAGGTCTGTCCACTCGGCAAAATTCTGTCGCTACAACAACAACAACAACAGGAGTAAAAAGAAGGTATTCTCTAAAAAAAAAAATATATATATATATATACATAGTTCACTTCTCTGAGTACAAATTACTGCGACTACAATTGAGCTACTACTGTAATAGACAAATTACTATGTTATAGTCTAAAAGAAAGAAAATATAAGCTTATTTCTAAACTAAAAATACGCCTAAATGCTATAAGATTGTTTTATTATTCTTAAGTAATGTAAGATTGATCTTAAACAAAATGCGGTTCTTGCTCACCGATTACTTCAGGGAATTCACCAAAATTATCTAGCTTTAAACAAAATCCAATTTTTTCGAAAATTTTCCTAGAAATGCTCGACGGTCACTGCAGCGTAATTCTCCAAAACTATTTGGAACCTAATTTCTACTGCTACAAAAACAACGACGGCAAATATTGTGCGCAAAGCTCAAATGCGTGGAATGATATCGTCCATCCACTACAATGTAGCTTTGGGGTATTCGAGCATACAGGTATCTCGAAAACATGAACCAAAAAAACAATTAGTATTAGATTCAGAAAACTTGAATTAGGTTGACACGGATTCCGCTACTTTTGATGAATTTCGGAACTATCATTTTCGAAATTAAAAAAATCGAATTTGAAGAAAAAAATGATCTGAGGCGTTATATTTAACAGGGTAGGGGTATTCCAAAAGGTGATTTATTTTTAAAATTAGTATTTTCGTTATAACAACACAATTAGCAAGTGTATATATATGTATATTTAGTATGTACATATATTTAAATATATGTCTTCATTCGAATTGCATGACGAGCGTTTTCATTGCGCTAACAATATAATAAGCGCATTCACGCACTTCATGATTATACTTCTCAATTGCCGTTTTATCCTCCAAAGCATACGATTTCTGCAGATTTTCACATTCATGTGGTATCAAAATATTATAACGCGTCAATGTCTTAAGCATGTCCCTAATGGTTTCGTTGTAATTTGACTGTAAAACAGTAAGAAATACAATTTTATTAAAATGTTGTGGTGAATATTTGTTAATGAGTACACGCGCAAATTACCGTTGTAGAAAATATAGAAATCAATTCCATCACTGTCGTACGTACTCGCTCACCACACGGCACCAATTCGTCTTTGTTGGTCGGTAGATCTTGCATGATGGCAACTAGCTCCTTCACGCGACGTGTCACCAAATCTGTGCGATGTTTCAACTCCTCCGCAAATGGCTTATCAGCGCCCATTTGATACATACTCGTCGTGGTGCGACATTCAACATTCGGTTTAAACAAAGCGGGTGCGAGGCGACGTTCATACATACTTGCTGGACGCTTAATGGTCGACTGGTTCGAACTGTTGGCCGACGAAGAACTAGAAGAATTGGAATCTAAAGTAACGGGTGCGTTGGCAACATCCTCTGGTAGTGAAAGCGACTCGCTTCCATTTTCAACGCCATTTAACGGTTCGGTACGGCTTTATAGACAATTCAATTCAATTGAAAAATGAAAAAGAAAAATGTGTAAACAAAAATAAAAATTGAAAATCAAATAAAAATATAAGAATTGAATTAAATAAAAATAAAATAAAGTCAGCTCACAGCACATCATGGTGAACGACAGTCTCATTTATCGTACAGTCCACAGGTGCATTGTTGGAAAACTTTGATTTCAGTTCAGAATTTTCCGACGAAAGCTTTTCAACAGTCGATTTCAGCTGATTAATCACATATTTGTAGTCGTTTATCTGTCTCAATAGCGTTTGCACTTCATGCTGTGGCTCGTCGGGCGTTTGATGCACAATAGCCTGAATTAGCGAATACGAAATGCAAAATCAAAAGTGGCTTAAAAAAAAAACTCAAAATAAAATACATCGTAATAAATATGTAATTTTAAAAATAAAGGTTGCTAAATAAACTCAACACTCTACGCGCTTAAGAAAATTATTAGGCTCATTAAATTATGCAAAATCAAAAACACTAAATATTTTGTTGCTGTTTGCACTACGTTTAGCCAAATCTATTATTAAGCTTAAGTAACATTTTCTGCATATTATTTACCTGCTGTGCAATCGGCGGTATCGGCGCATAATCATCGTCACTTGCCACGGGATCGTAAATCGGTTCATCATCGGACAATTCAAGTTCGTTTTCATTTAATAATGATGGATTATAGAAGGAATTCAAATTGGGCGTGTCGAGTGGGCGTAAATTTGCAATTTTTTGTCGACGACGTGCATCACACAGCACATCCGTTAATAGGCCAGCAAATTCTTTACGCGAAAATCGTGCAAGTTTTTGTCGGCCCTGTACATTTGTATGGAAATCAATATCATTTTTAAGCGGTTATATTATTTTTAAAATTTACTTGATTGCGCGTGGCACTTAAGAAGGGATTCGCCGGTAGAAATGGCACAGCTACATTCTCAGCATTCAGTGTGGAAGTTGCCCAAACTAATTAAATTTAATTAAAATTAAATAATAATATATTATTTTTTATATGCATACACTTGCACGTACTTGCTTCATTTTCACGTCGATCGACTTCGTCGTATAAATCCATAACCAGTTCTTCGAACATTTTGTTAGGTACAACTTGTAAACGATTACGCGCAATGGTAAGTTGTTCGCTTATTTCAGTATTCGAGGTTTCCGGTATAACTAAATGATTACCTGACTGGAAATAATTAATATATAAATAAATAAAACTTGAATAAAAAGCTAAGTCCTTCTTTACCGTATGATCTGGTTTTTTGCCACCCAAAAACATTATAATGCGATCTGTAACTTCATACATTGCATCCAATAATCTCTCAGCTATAATATTATGATTGTTAGCTTTGGCCACTTCCAGCGGTGTGAGTCCATTACCATCAATGGCATTTATATCCGCGCCGTAAACGATAAGCAATTCAATTTGTGACGCTTGTCCAAATTTGGCAGCTACATGTAGTGGCGTTGAACGTTTTTCGTCATGGAAAAAGTTTGGATTAGCGCCTTGTACGAGTAGGCGCAAAGATGTCTCTAAATTGCTTGTCCGTACACTGGCATGCAATTGTCTGCTCAGTTCATTTTCCAAATTTATGCCAGATATGACACCTTCCTCTTGTAAATTTGATTTTAAAACAAATACTAGATTTACGTGTTTTGATTTGATAAAATCAGACTTGGTTGGATGTAAGGGATCTTTCGGATTAGGTTTACGCACACGCGGTACACCTTTATCACTTTTCGATGCATTATTATCGAGTAAATGATGCTCCCAAACGCTATTTGCTCCATGCGCATTCAACGAATTCACAAAATTTAAAACTGATGGCTCCCAGGTGCCTTGTCGCAAAGATTTTACCATGGATATGTGACGCCCTAGACTGCGATGTACTGAGCAGCAATCAGCGCAGAGTAGTATACCGCGATTTATTGAAGCCCATGAAGGATCTGTGACAGTTAAGAATAAAGCATATTAGTCATTACATATTTTGATGTAAATTTATTATAAAAATTACACACCTGACGCTCCACAATCGCCACATACTTCAATTTGTATGCGCGATTTAGTACGTGACATTCTCACTAAATTTGTATTATTGGTAGAAATATCTCTGTGTTCACTCTTACTATAAGCGCTTGCGTTCAGACTACCACCTCCTACGGGTGTGACAAATTTTTTGTGAGCTTCAACGATAGTGCTGGCGAAGCACATTCAAAAATACTATTTCGAAGGGTGCTGCCCTTCTGCAGTGGCGTAGAAACAATATATTGCACAAATATTCAATGAAACAGCAGGAATTAAATCGTCTAAGTTAAAATGTTTATGAGTTTAAATTAGATCAGCATCAGTAAAGCTCATTACTGGTACGAGAAGTCAATTGTATAATTGCTTGTTCTCACTAATTAAATCCACCTCGTTTATTAATACCAATTAAGCGCAGCTACTAGTATAAATGCAATCCTATATGAGCCAAAACATATATAATAATTGTATATTTCTCTAGGTTGGTGTGCCGCTTTGACTCTTCTCCAGTTGCTGCTTAAACTTGCAGCGTTTGGTGAAACAATTAGATGCACAAAGATTATATTTATTCGATATTTATAATTTATTAAGTTGATTTGAAAACTGAATGAACTATATAAATAACATCAAAAAAATTATCTTTCTTTCGTTATACACACCTTTTATCTGAAGAAATATAAGAGTTACCAGATTTTTATACGACAGGGTTGCGTTTTGAGTATTTTTTGCAAATGCTATAATTTTCGAGGTATAGCGCCAAAAATGAAAAATTTTTATTACCTTTGTTGTTTTTCAAGTGTACTTCCCTCAAAATACTGTTAAAAACAAATACCAAAATTTTTATGCGTCGAATCAAGAATTTCTTTCCTTTCTTGGGATAGATGTGAACCAATACCAGTAGTTCCGGGAAGAACCGGTTGTTTAAAACTGTGTCCAGATGTGCATACATTTTCGCTGTCATTTAACTAGAGGTCTAAAAAACGATCAGTTACTATAAGGCTATCCTACAAAGCATATGAAAAAGTGGTTTGTAACACGTAAATTTGTGGAACGGTAATGTTGTTGTTGTTGCTGCTGTAGCGGCAGAAAACATCGCTGAAGTAATTTGGAGGAAGGCTGCCGAATTGACAATCCTTGGTCGGAAAAAAATTCCGGTCCGTTACGGTGACGTAGACTCGACTGTCGTAAGAACGGCAGTCAATGCACATTGCACTCTGGCTATTAGTACTTAGTCCCACATTATGTCAAGGTTATCATTCTAGCAAAATAAGTGCCTTTATCAATAAATTCATTTAAATTAAGGAAATTTTTCATTTTATTAAAACTATATACTTTTATACAGGAGCATGAATATAGATAACCGAATTTTTATATTGCCATTCTTTTAATCAATAATTATTATCGTTTTAACAAGCGTCGTGTTGATATCAGTGTTAAGTTTGTTTATGATACTTGGCCTTTGCATTTTAGTAGCTATTATATAAGTATATATATATATTTAAACATACTTTAAACAAATACTAATTTTACTTAATTGCACCAGCTAAGTACGCGTAAAATTAAACAAATCTATGAAGTACTTGTGCACACAGTATCGATTGAGCTCTCATTTTTCCTTTGTAGAGTTAAATAATGGTTATTCACCACCTCCTCGATGCTATGGTCGTTTTTAAATAAGCTATATAAATCGCCATTTAACCTGCAAACAACTCCAGCGGCACGAATGTTCCAATTCCAACACACAAGATCACAACTGAGCACCTCAAGATCTTCCTTAAGTGACATGATGTTCTTCAAAATAGTGAAAAATACAATATTTTATAATTTACTCAAATTTTAATGAGTTATGAATTAATTACATTCGTAATAATGATTTTAATGAAGAGAGTATTTTATTTTCGAAATATAACTAATGTAATGTTTCCCTAAGTGCAGTGATGTCATATAACTGTTGGCAACAAGGCATAGCAGTTAAATTCAAATTTACGACACAGGGTAAGCTTTGTTGCCTTAAACCGGTTTTTATGACCTTATTTGTATATAGGTAGTTTCCTATCATAAACAATAGTCTGCTGGAAAGTTAGTCACAAAAAATTCCAAAGCTGCACTAATTGTGCACTTTAAGTGTTGTTATAGACTGATTATGCCCAAAATATAAACACTTTAACTGTATTTTTAAACACAACGGCATTGATAATTTGGAATGCGCTTATCGGCAAGCGAATATATCGAAATAAGTAGTCGTATTAAATACTAATTTATAGAACGAGTTAGATATTTCAAATTAGTTTAGTTTTAATTTATCTTTATTTTAACGGGTTGAGATAGAATAATGACTAGTGTGTTTAGAATTCGGTGTTAGAATATCAAACAGGGTCTGTAAAATGTTTTCGAAGATTTTCACAAGTTTGAGAAATATTTGCTGTATAAAAGTTTTAAATTTTTGGTTAAAAACTGGACGAAAAGTCCGATATATATTTTGATTTAACCAAATATTATATTCAGTTTAAATCAAAACATATTCAGCCTATAGAATATTTGAAAACTATTTTGGCATTGTACAACCAGAGAGCTTAGAAGAACGAGAAGGTGCAAATTTTTTTTATGATGCTCGATTGGTCGGCTAACAGAGCTGAAAAATTGAGATCAAGGAGTTCACCATTTTCTGTAGTAGTTACTGTTATTTAACAGAAATGAGAATTTATAACAACGTTCTCTGACAAAATATACAAATGCCACTTCACATATGCATGATTATTTTTTGCCATAAAAACGATTTTTATGATGAAAAATTGATAAAATATGATGAACCTGCACCTTCTCGTTCTTCTAAGTTCTCTGGTACAACAACAGTGACTAATACCACTTAACAATATACATATGAACTGTTAATATACTAGTATTTTATGAAAAAGTAAGGTTAGAGCGCCAAATAAGTTATTAATATGTTTGAAATAAACTTCTAAATACACTATTAGTTGTAATATTATTATTACTCATTATCTTATTATTACGGTTAACTATTTTTTACTCACCAAAGCAACAGTGTAATCAATGGAATTAATTTCTTCTCCTTTTATAACAATGAGATTAACATCGTAGCGATTACCGTTCATAAATTTTACAATTCTTTCTTTTAGATACTCCGCAGACGCGAAATCTAATCTCTGCTTAACATCCACAAAACATATTTCGTAATTGCTAACCTATAAATAGTTGACAGTTAGCGCATAAAAATTTACAATGCTTTAACTCTTTTCACCTTTTTCTTTTCTAAATGAATTTGTGGTCTGGCACTTGTATATAGTATAAATGAGATATTCACCACTACGCCACAAATAATGCCGTATTCCAAACTCCAAAATAAACAGGTGACATAGGTAACAGCAAATGGAAAGAGGTCCATTCCTTAAATTAAAAATTCAATTACAGTTATTCATGTAAAGAAAATATTTTTTTTTCGTAAAAATGTATACTTTTGGATTTCCATATCTCGGCAAGTCGCTCGAGTTCCACCAGCGATATCATGGCGGCTATAATAACTGACGCTAAAGTTGCTTTTGGAATGAAGTAGAAAGTTTGTGTTAGAAAAGCCAGCGCCAACAATACCATTGCACCAGTGACGGCACCGCCCAATGGCGTTTTAACGCCACTCGCATTGTTTACAGCTGTTCTGGTAAACGAACCTGTCACCGGCATAGATGATACAAAACTTCCCATAATATTGCACATGCCGAGAGCTACCATCTCTTGAGATGCGTTGACAATTTTACCCTTAGCTACATATAAAGAGTATTTATGAGATCGGAACTACATACATCTCTTGTGTTGAAAATATTTTTAGAGTATACTCACAGAATGCCTTAGCTATTGCTACAATTTCTAGTATTGACACTAAAGGTATCGATGCCAATGTGGAACCGTACGTGCTAATCATTTCCGAGAAAGTCACCTCCTTTCCATCGACGATTGTGCTAAACGGTGGTACACGGAACGGTGGCAAGCCTGCTGTAATATTCCCGGTGATTACGAAGGGTTCGGAGCCATCACGACTTAATTGATATGCCAAAAATGTACCGAATATTACCACCAAGGCGTTGCGAGACAAAGAAATATATTTCCAAAATGTCTTGTTGCCATACGGTATATTTTTCACTTGCTAAAAGTTAAGAGTATAATAAGTTACATAAGTTCTGCTCTTTTACATATGTTATCTTGTTCTGTGAAGTTAATACCTTCATCAAGAGTAAAAATATAAGGCTGCCGACGCCAAGTAATGAGTCGTTCAAACGTGCATTTGGGAGGTGCGTAAAAAAGTGTTTCCAAGACGGAATGAGGTTATTGGACGGACCTTTAGGTTATTAAATTTGAAATTAGTGTTATAAAAATAGGTAGTATGTATTATATTGTGCATTACGAAGTACACTATGAGCGAAAAATGCGTCGCTATAAAATAATATAATTGAAAAAGTAATAGCGAAAATAACAGTTACAAATAAAAAATAAATTTTTAACCGTTCAGCCTATAATAACATATACGATCGAACCGTTTATACATATGCATTTTGAATTTTGATAAGTAACTGTTATGGTTAGTGAGATGTACGCATTCTTAGTAATCAAAAATTTCTTACTTTTTATTCCGAAGAGATTGTTAATCTGCGCACTACCAATTGTACACGCCGCAGCCATGGTGAATCCCATAATAACCGGCATCGAAATAAATCGCACCAGCACGCCGAGATTAAGTATGCCCAGCACCAATATCGTGCAGCCCGTCACAAATGATATCAAAACGGCGAAATCCGGTGTAATTATTGCATAATCATGTACCATTAGAGCCATAATTGCTGTGGTGGCTATTATTAATTGTAAAACAATATAATAATTTACGATAGTAAAAATAAAAAACAAGAATACATTCATACCGATAGTTACGTCCTTGCAAGAACCAAAAATGATATAAGTGAAACAGCCCATAAAGGCCGCATAAAGCCCGTATTGAGGCTGCAAGCCAGCGACCACGCCATAAGCAATCGCTTGCGGAATAGTTGTGAGACCGACTGTGAAACCGGCAATAGCATCGCGAAATATAAAGGAAGCCTGATATCTAGGTAGCCATTTTAGTATGGGCAGCTTATTTGTTAGTATCGCCGGTCGACATAGCTTTTTACTGCTATTCAAAATTGTTGAACGAATATTGGGAAAATCTTGTTCATATAAGCCATCTGAAAGCGAAGAAATCAGTAAAATAAAAAAATATTATATAAAGCATATGTAGTCAGTTAGGTTTATTACAAACGTAATGATTTAGTTTTATAATGGTAGGTATATATGTATGTATGTATAGACGCTAAGTCGCGGTGCCAACCTCAATTAATTTCTATTCTAGTTTTATATATGTATGTATGTATGGGATGTAAAAAGTGCATGTTAAAAGTGCACTCCATAAGCATCTGACAACAATCAATTGTTTTGAAAAAAACAGCAATATGCATATAAACCTTTATATAAGCCCCCGCCCGAACTTCTCTTCGATTTCGTATTTTTCAAGTAAATAAGGTATTAATCCTGTTTTGATTGCCCCCATCGTTCGCACGACAGTAACCGGCACAGAATTTCGTTGCACTTTCAACTTAACAACATTTTTCAAAAATATTTTGCGAATTTCTGCTGTCAATACAGCAACAATATTGTATATAAGTTTTGCAATAAAAAGAATTCACTTATTCACTTTCAGAGTTGGATTTGAACATGTATTCACTAAAACCATTTTTTATTACTTTATACTTCCTTATGACGAAAAAATTACCTCAAATTAATATTTATGTTATAAAAGTTTTATTTGCAAACTTCGCTTTTAACATTCTATCACTCTATAGCAACAAGTGGATTTCCCATACAAATTTTAGTACCGCTGTTGTTTTGAACATATTGTTTATGGCTTTAAAATCGAATGGCTTAAGCCATAAAGATGTGTTTACTTATCACAGCTACGTTCATAACTAAATGCATGTACATGCATACATGCATATATACCTAAATATGTATGTATGCATGTAATATTAATTTAGTAATCTAGTAAACATTTTAGCATTTAGTAACTATGCTCGTTCAATGCAATTCCCAATTAATTAGAGTTATGCAGATAATATTCAATTGTCTACGAAACAGCATTGGGCTTACACAAAATCTAGAATTAGATTTCACATGATATACGAACGTCGAACACTGCCAAAACCATAAAATTTACTACATTTTTTATGGAACAATATTCTCATATTCCTTTTACTCTAGTGACTATATTTACATATGCGATCTTATATATGTATGTATATATATATTTTCTTAATCGGATCTGCATATATGTATGTACATATATATGTTTGCAAACAGTGATTTATTACACAGCGATGCTTTATAAACGTTTATTGAGAAGTGCAAATATTTACCGTCTGTTCTTGCCATAATTACAAGACACTAAGAAAAAAATAAACAAAAAAAAACGTATTTAATTGTTGTTAACGATTGCGGCAATATTTCAATATTCTGCTATATTCCTGCAAATGTATATATACTCTATTTTTGTGTATATTACACGACGCTTTGCGATATCACCACCGGTCGCTTAGAGTGTTATTTAGTAAATACGAAACAGTTAGACGACTCCGTTCGAGGTGTACTTCAATATATCGGTAGTTTCTTAGTGCTGAAACTCGAAGCGTATGGGTAATCTAAATGCCTAAAACTTTCCGAAACAGTTTGTGATAGCAACACGACTTTGCTTATTAACAAGAAATTAACTCTGTATACATTGTTCATGTAGTAAAGTAATCTGAGGTGTGTTATATACAAATATAAAACGTATTTACATCATTATTTAGGTATTACGTTATATTCATGAGTTCAATGTTACTTCTAAAAAGCATTTAGCATAAGACATTTTTAATAAAGGAATGTGTTAGGTGTGCAGGTTCATTTTAAATTTGAGTAACTGCTATTTGCAATAACATCATTGAGAAAGATGTAGACGTCTAAGTATAGTCATTAATTCATATAGAAGATTTCAGGCTAGAATAAGCCGAAGAAAATCCGATTTCAAGTCATAGCTGATACCTTGAAAAGGATATATAATGTAAAGTATCCGTTGATGTTGTTGTTGTAAACCCAATTGTTTTAGGAGCCGATATATACGAATGACCTTTTATAAAACGATATTTTCATAGCCTTTCGAACAATAAAATATCGCAGACATGTTTGTTTTATTTACACATAGTATAAGTGTAAGCCACTAACGAGTCAGGACATACATTTTTTGGTTGTGCCCGAAATTAGCGCTTCCCTATTTGTTTCATTTACTTAACAAACGAGGACATAAATTGTTCGGTAGTGCCCGAAATTAGCGTTTCCCTATTTGTTTTATTTACTGTTTATTAAGAAATGCATGGACACGAGGCGCTATTCATAAGTTCAAGATGTTATGATGCGCGCTTAAGATAATTACACACATTAATACAAGTACATGGTATCTTGGAGCGTATATTTAAGAAAATATGTACCCTGTCGGAAAAGTTTGCTGATGAAGTATTTGATTTCCTTTAAAAATATTTAAACTCCAGACATTATATTTGTAAGAGTTTATCACATTAAATAATTATAATCAGGAAAATATTGGTATATAAATATTATTATAATTAAAGTTGTAATAATAATAATATATGTACATCTATATATATAAAAATGAAAATTTCTTATACTCTGTAGAAGGTTCTCAAAAAGATTGAAAAAATACATTTAATTTTGCATATTTTAAAAAACGTGCGTAACGAATGTCATCGTCATTCACAGCCATAGACTATATTGAAAGAGCATCATTTGTTCCGAAATTTGGTTACTTAATTAAATTCTATCGCACTAATTTACTAGTTTTTGAAAATTACTCGCCCCATTTAAATGTATCGACTTTGACGGTAATATTAATAATACCCGTGATGATTTCATTTTAATGTAAGTATTTAATAATAATAAAATATGTATACTATTAGTTAGATTTCAGAACGCAGTATACAAACTTTGCATAACCTATTTAGTAATCTGCTAACAATAATTTTTTTAACTTTTTGATAAAGTTTATTTTGTTTTGAAGACTAAGGAGTTTGTTGTTTGCTAATAAGTGTTTGTTAATCACGTTCAATTCACAGCTTAATATCAGTTCACAGCTTAATATCGATTTTTAGTAACTTTTGATGACTACACAATATTAAAATTTCATATACATGGTTAAACAAAAAATATAAGGGAGTAATTTTCTATTTTCAGTTGGATTTTTGTTTTTAAAAATGCCATCAAGTAGACGTACAAACTTAGACAGCATAACTCGAAATACTGCAAGTCAAAGACATATAAGAGCAAATCAAACAATTTTACTGTATTGAATAGTATGTAATTAATGTATACCTTAGCCACAGCAACGCGTGAACGGGGTCCTCTAGTATGTAATTAAAAATATTATAGTAATTTTATCTTTCATAAATAATTATTTCCAGAAATATATATATTGCATTTTTAAAACGGTTGCGTATTTGAGTACACAACTTAACTGACAAACGATTTTCTTGATTATTCGTTTCGTTTATGTCATACCTAATTGTTCAGTGAATGGAAAAAATCCCCCAAGCTTCAAATACCGCTAATACGGCGAAACAAGTAAACGACAATAATTAATTTGTTTTGTTAAGTACTTTACCTGTCTCTTCAGAAGAACCAAAAGTGTCAGCGCCTCTGTTTGTCTGAAATTATATATAAATGCACTTAGCATGTATATACATATGAGAAAATAATTAAACAGCTTCAGAAATGTGTAGTATTAGATCTGTTGTTGCTAAAATTTATCGGCATAACCTAGACCTTTAAAAGGACTTAGCAGTTCGGTCAAACAAATTAGCAGTATGGTCAAACAAATAACACTAGTTTTTAGATATGCATTAGTATATCTAAATATATTTATCTGCTGGGATGTTTTTCCGCCGTTATACAAATAACTCTATTTTAAGTCGAACCAGTTTTATTGACAAATTAATTCTTCATAAAACCACTTTTTAGTGTATCACTTAAAGCGGGCAATATGTGACACCTATGTTTATATGTTCTGATCCTTTATGAGCATTGTTTAATGATTTGCCGTATAATAAATATACAACTAATGCTGTATACATTTCCTAGCGTTACTAACATATTGATATATATCACTATTTGCTTCCATTTTACATTAAATACAATAAATAACTACAGTTTTTGTTTATTTGTTTTCGATTATGTTATTATTAGTTTATTAATTCATTTTGTAAAACAGCTGATTATTTGATACTGCAGTTCTATCAAAATGATAATAGTGAAAACATAACTATTCTCGATTATGTAAAACAAATATCGATTTTATCCGCACAACTAATATGTATTTCAAAATAATAACCAAAAAAAAAAAAAAATAGAAATAGTATATATTTTAATTACATGAAAAAAACAAATTGTCTTTATTAAAACCTGTGTTTAAATAAGTGTTGTAAACTTTTGCACTTAGCTTCTGCTTATATCGATAACTTAGCTGCGGTTATCGGTAAAAACAGTTTTATCAATGAAGATCATCTTTACGCTGTACATTGTACACAACATATTTGTTTTTGCCGCTAGTTCATTAAGTTCAGTTGTTCTTTTCGTGTGTTCGGTAAAAATATATTTGAGATATATTGAATTTATTCCGGAGAAATGAATTTTCAACACTTTTCGATGGTGCCACCTCCACCGCCAGATATGGATCAATCAAACCCAGCTCCGCCACTTCCAGTTGGCATACCACCAGGTCCTCCTCCCCCGCCACCACCAGAGACGTCATCTACAGAACCACATCAGTCAGGATACCCAACTATTGTTAATAATGCAAATTACTCTAATGACACTTTGCCGTCATCGATGCCACAAGTATCTGGAGCAAACAGTTTTCATTCCTATTCATCAAATTTTTATCAACATCCTTATACGGACAAGAGTACGCCTTATTATTCACACTTTCAACCAACAAATACGTATACAGACGTATATAGTAATGAAGGTGTATATAATGTGCCGCCACCGAGGAAAACTCCTTACACACCGTATGAATCGACATATAATGAGTATAATTATCATAATCAAAATTATGATGGTAATGTGCATCGACCCTACAGAGGTGGTAGAGAATTCTTACCAAATAGAGGACATTATAAGCCACATGCAAACATACGATCATATCCATATGAGCATAACAAACCAATGACAAATCGTGCTACTTATACTGCGCGTGGAAATTATCGTAATACATCTATTCCATCCCCAACCAATCGTCCGCAATTGGCACCTTCATCGTCTCAGAAGTATATTTAATAATATAGTTTGAATGTGTAATTACTTTATGTATATTCTTATTCCAGAGGTTACGGCTATTCGAAATATGTAGACACTTCAAAACCCTATACTCAACGAGAAAGAAAGTATGAAGCACGAAGCGATACCAAAGAACCAAAGCTTGAGACTGAAAGAGACAGACTTTTGAAAAGTTGGAGATCAAATTACTGTGAAACATCCGAAGATATTGCCGAAAAATTGGCAGAATTGGTTGGGCAAGATGAAGACTCTCGAGCCGTATGGATACGTTCATCGCCAGCAGATCCCTTTTATCGACGTTCAGATGTACCAAATGAAGTTGTCTCCACGAGCAGATTAGAAGCGCTGTGCAATTTATTTGAAGAAAAATTACTACAACGTTCAGATCGTGTACGCAAAACATTACCACCATATGAACCGCCAGCACGCAAGTCACGTCGCCGCTTGTGTAAACATAAATCTGAAGCTTGCTCATCCTCGTCGGAAGATTCCTCAGATGATGAGTTGAAAATTGAACAAGATTGTTGTATGGAGGAACTTTCACGAAAAGTGCAGCATCCATATCGGATACATGCCGACTTGTGGCATAATGATTCGGGTGAAATGAATGACGGTCCGCTCTGTCGTTGTTCTGCTAAATCGCGTCGTATTGGCATACGACACGGCATATATCCCGGCGAAACAGGTTATAAGAAATGTTTGCCGAATTCAAATAATGCGTCGCAACTTTACCACTATCGTATAACCATTTCGCCTCCCACTAATTTTCTCACTAAAACGCCAACGATAATAAAGCATGACGAGCATGAGTTTATCTTTGAAGGATTTTCTATGTTGACACATGCACCGCTAGCAGACTTGCCAACATGTAAAGTTATACGCTTCAACATTGAATATACCATCTTGTATGTTGCCGAGAAAATGCCAGAGAATTTCACCATAAGAGAATTAGAGTTATTTAGTAAGTAAATAGAAAAATAATATTTTAATAAAATTTAATTAATTACCATCTTTCAGATCAGTACCTATTTCACGAACTACTCGAGCTGGTGGATTTTTCGCTATACCCCGACGGCATGTCTAGTTCTGAAACATGTCCAGCTTTTCATTTCTTACCACGTTTCGTGCGAGATCTACCCGACAATGGTAAAGAAGTATTGGCCATAAGTGAAGTGCTCCGTTATTTACTGGACAGTGCTGCTCCACTTGTCGATCGCGAGCAGTTGCGCTGCCTAAACGATATCAGTCAACATGATTGGCAGGATTATGTTGATTTCATAAAAGGAATGCTTGTGACAAAGCCGGGTTACAAACCATGCTCTGTACGTGTGGATCAGCTGGATCGCAATGTTTCTGATTTACCAGAGTGTTTTGAAGCCGAAGAGAACGTAACACATCCGGCCATCGTCCATTTTGGTATACGTCCACCGCAGCTCAGTTATGCCGGTAATCCGGAGTATCAGAAAGCATGGCGTGAATATGTGAAATATCGCCATCTAATGGCCAACATGTCGAAGCCATCGTTTGCCGACAAGCGCAAGCTGGAAGATAAAGAAGCACGCTTGCAGGAGATGCGCACACAAGGGCGTATGAAGCGCAACATAACAGTGGCGGTCAGTTCGAAGGGCTATTACCGAACCGGTGTTATGTGTGATATTGTGCAGCATGCGATGCTTATACCGGTGCTTACTGGTCACTTGCGTTTTCATCGTTCACTGGACCTTTTAGAGAAAAGTATTGGTTACAGTTTCAAAAATCGGTGAGTTTTCTTACGAAATCTTTTGTTATTATTTTTTATTTAAAATAAAAAATTTCTTTTAGATATTTATTGCAATTAGCGTTGACGCATCCTTCGTATAAAGAAAATTATGGCACGAACCCCGATCATGCGCGCAACTCCCTTACTAATTGTGGCATTCGACAGCCCGAGTATGGCGATCGTAAAATACATTACTTAAATACACGAAAGCGTGGCATAAATACCCTTATAAACATAATGTCGCGCTTTGGCAAGGAATACGAGACCATGTCGAATATAACACATAATGAACGTTTGGAGTTCTTGGGCGATGCCGTAGTTGAGTTTTTAAGTTCAATACACTTGTTTTTCATGTTTCCTGATTTGGAAGAAGGTGGTCTGGCCACTTATCGTGCGGCCATCGTACAGAATCAGCATTTAGCTTTACTTGCCAAGAAGTTGCACTTGGAGGAGTACATGCTGTATGCGCATGGATCGGACTTATGTCACGAATTGGAATTACGTCATGCAATGGCTAACTGCTTTGAGGCTTTAATGGGCGCGCTGCTACTCGATGGTGGCATATCAATAGCCGATGAAGTCTTTATGAATGCGCTTTATATGGAAAACGAGCAACTCAAAGAGATTTGGAAGAATTATCCAGAGCATCCGCTGCAAGAACAAGAACCGTTAGGTGATCGCGGTTGTATTTCCTCGTACCCGGTGCTGCAAGAGTTAACCAAATTCGAAGAATCCATCGGTATACAGTTCAAACACATACGTCTGCTGGCACGCGCTTTCACTGATCGTTCCATTGGTTTTACTCACCTCACATTGGGTTCCAATCAGCGTTTGGAATTCCTAGGTGATACGGTGTTGCAATTAATTTGCTCCGAATATCTTTATCGTCATTTTCCCGAGCATCATGAAGGTCATTTGTCGCTGTTGCGTTCATCGCTTGTAAATAATCGCACACAGGCGGTGGTTTGTGATGATCTCGGCATGACCAAGTACGCGGTCTACTCGAATCCAAAGGTGGAGCTAAAGACCAAAGATCGTGCTGATTTATTGGAAGCATTCTTGGGTGCATTATATGTGGATAAAGGTTTGCTGTATTGTGAACAATTCTGTCATGTGTGTCTATTTCCACGTTTGCAAATATTTATAATGAATCAAGATTGGAACGATCCCAAATCGAAGTTGCAACAATGTTGTTTGACTTTGCGCACAATGGAGGGTGGCGAACCCGATATACCCATTTACAAAGTGATCGAATCTATTGGACCCACCAATACAAGAGTGTATACGGTAGCTGTTTATTTCCGTTCGAAACGCTTGGCAACCGCCACCGGCTCATCGATTCAGCAAGCTGAAATGAATGCAGCCAAACAAGCTTTGGAGAATTCACGTGATTTATTCCCGCAACTGGATCATCAGAAACGTGTTATAGCCAAAAGTATTAAAAAGCAAAAAGGTGGCGAGCTCAAACCGGAATTCGAAGAGCCTTCAACTGAGCAAGCGAAACCGAAAAGTACCAATTCCATGGAGGATGAGTCCCATCTTCCCAAGCAATATCGTGTACGTGAAGACATTTCCAGCGATGAACTGCCAGACGATGATAGTGATGTGGAGGATCGACAGTCAACATCAAAAAGCATTAAAGGTTCGTTAAATCGGCCATTCAAAATTATATATATAAATTGCAAATTTGCAAGGATGATTTTTTACCACTCTTTTTTCACGTTGTTTACTCATATTAATTAAAAATTTTCTGATTTTCAGATCATTCAAGTCACAGCAGTGATTGCAGCACCAGTTCACACGATGAGCAGTTGGAAACAAAACAGAAACAAAAAAAGCGAAGCAGAAAACGTGCTAAAAAAACATCGCAAAACAGGACGAATTCAAATTCTCCCAAAAGAGCAAATTTCGAAGTGAACGATATGAAAAGCACCAATAAAAAAAATTGTGAAGATGTGTCGAGTGATGATTGCTTTGAAGAAAATTTAACCGCCACAGCGCCCAGTACGAGCGAAAATACGAAATCATCTTTAAACACAATGCCGCATGATCTTCAAGATTTGGTGGAAGATGTGTCGTCGAATTCGGATATTGAGTCGGGGGAGCTGAGTAGTTAAATTGTGGCACACTAAAGCATATGCAAATATGTATATATTATATATATATATATATGCGGCACAAGGAATGTTCGTCGATAGGAAATGGAACGTTATAGAAAATTCTCTAGAGTTTTAAATTCAAGTGCCAGTTGGCAGCGATGTCAAATATACGAGTGTTTTAATAACAATAAAAAGATTCTCTTCAAATGCTTGAAATGTTGAGTTGGCACAAGACACCATATAATATCGGTAATCGACTTTTAGTTAAGCTTAAAATTAGTATTATATAATTATGAAGTTATATATAACTGAAATATGTGAAAAACAAGGTCCAGTAAATACCAAAAAAATAATACGTTTGCTGTAGTGTTTTTAACATAACCTAACTATCGATCTATAACCACCGAGTGAAAAGTAATATTTTCAAATAAATTCAAGCCTGCCTAACACACACATTATCCGGAATTTATACAATCAACATTTAATTTTTTATTTTTAAACCGGTTTAACGTTTTGTTTTCGATATTTAAATTTTATTTTTCGAATATATACATAAAAAATGTATGCAAAGTATGGCAGATTTATTTTTGACGACTCACCGGTTTACAGAATATTTCGTTTTGAAAAAAAAACATTACTTATGAATGTGATGTATACACTCTCAACAATGAATTTAAACTCATGCCTCTGTATGAATCCATTGCATAATTTGTGACTACGAGTAATTACTAATACAAACTTTTTTTTTTCTAATTGAGCGCATTTTTCTCATTGTCAATCAAAACGCACAAAAAACTATTTTGTTTTAATATTTATAATTGATCTTATGTTGATCTTTAATAAAAATGTGATTACTTATGAGTTTGGAGTTAGAATTTACGTAATTGCTACGAGAGTATGATATGCTGCAATGGATTCAGTAACGTGGCTTTATTTGAACGGAACACACGTGCTTACATATTATTCCAAATAATTATATTTCGTTTATATTACCTATATAAAGCAAAAAGACTTGATATTCTCTTTAATTGTATGTACATGGGATTTTCACTTAAACAGTGAGAGTCGCCGAGAGGATAAACGACCACCGTTGCTGAGAGCGCTTTGTACGTCCTTCATTTCCGGCAATTTGCCGATATCACCACGGGCAGCCATTGATGGCACGGTGGCGAGTAAGCGTCGAGCTACACGCTGTATATCACCCTGACTGATTTTTTCTACAAGCAGAGTATGAAAAATATGTTAATTTTGTATATTCATTTGGATTATTTGCATGCGTTTTAATTACCGATTTCATGTATAAAGTGTTCAGGTCGCTTGCGATGACCTGTTGCCAGAACTTGTCTACCCACGTCTTCAAATACAACCGGCCTTGATTCCAGGTTCATTAATAGCATCGATTGCAATTGAATTTTGGAACGACTCAATTCATCCCTACCCGGCTCACTTGCCATGTTGACGAGTTCACGTGTAATAACCTCAACCATATCGCGTACGTTACTGGGTGGAGCGCTAGCATGTATGCAGAATAGACCAGTATCTGCATAGGCGTGATTATAAGCTGTAGCGCTATACATCCAATGATAGCGATTAAGAACGTTCGTGTATAAACGGGAGTACATGCCCTTGCCGGGACCGCCAGCGGAAAATGAACCGCCACCGCCCATCATTATATTTAAAACACATAATGCGACAAAATCGGGATCCTGATGAGAGCAACCCTCCAGTCCGATAACAACGTGTGCGAGCTCTGGTAGTCCAGTAGCGGCGTAAATCGGTATTTCACATTCTTCCTACAATAAATTTATTACTTATCATCATTATACACATAGTAAATAGATATACGCATGTAAGTACTTTTTTCAAGCCACCGGTGTATTGTGCAACTGAGCCATCGACTTCTGTTGCACCGGTTCCTTTGATAACTTGAGTTTCCCAAATCGCTTTTTCGTCCACAAAATACTTCTCAACGTTTCGAACTAGCTCGTCGTGGTTGACCTATTTGTTATTTTTTTTTTTTTATATAATCAACTTTTTTTTATTTCATAAGTGCTAATAATTTAACTTACCCCTACACCGGCTATTACCATACGCTGAGGTGTATGATGATACTTCAAGTAGTTCATTAAGACATTCCTATCTATTAGAGAAAGATTTTCTGATGGACACAATTTTGGCAGTCCCAAAGTGTTATCACGATATGCCGCTGCATGTATCATATCCATTAATATGGGTTCCTGCTCCGGGCGCATGCCGAGCGTCTCAAGTTCAAATTGTACCGCTTTACGCGCAGCGCTCACTTCTGCGGCATGGAGAGTTGGCCGCAATGTCACATCGGCAAGTAAGCGTGTAACCGATTCAATTGCTCGACTATCGATGCTTGCTGCATAAATGAGAGTGTCACGTGAACTTTGACAATCACAAATCCCACCGTTTTTCTCTAATTCCTTTAGTATAGCATCTTTGTTTGGAAATTTCTCAGTTGACTGTAAAATTAACGACAATAAACTGACTGAATGAATTGAATACCTAAACATTACAAAAATTGACAACTTACATTAAAGGCCAACTTCTCAAGAAAGTGTGAAACACCACTTGGGTAGGTGACTTCATAACGTGGACCCGAATCGATCACGAGTCCAACTGTGCAAAACTGACCAAATCTGGGTTCAGATGCCACACGTAATCCATTCGGCAGTGTAGTGACTTGTGTAAGACTGCTTTCGGCTAGTGGTCGCGCATACTCAACTTCAGGAAGATTTGGTATCGGATCTGTTAGCGGTGGTAGGTTGGTGACTATTTTGGTGGAAGGCTGATTCACAGTAAGTGAGCTGGCATCGTCACGAGCTCTGCCTGTTATATTTCCAATGCCGGTGCCTATACGCGCTTCTTCACCGGATAAAGATGACGGTTTTGTCGCATAACGTCTCAAAACACTGTGGGGAGAAAAGTCATTTGAGGTTATTGACTAATTCATTAGCGCTCACCTCCAGCGTTGCTGCAGTCGGCTTAGTAACCGTACGTTCATATTCTCTTTGGTTTGTTAAAACAAAACGAAATTTTTGCTTAAGCACTCAACTTTAGTTGTTCCCTTTGGCAATACTAATCTTTTTTTTTTAAATTTTTCACGATTAAGGATTTTTTATTGAAACATAATGCAATACAGCAAAAATAAAATCGGAAAAACGTTTCTACGCACAGATGATTTTAAATGTCAATTGTATAAAGTGGACTGTATTTTGCTATGGTGTAAACTGTCATATGTTAATGTCAGATGATAAGCATCTGGTATAAATTGATTATGGGTACTCTTGTAGAGTGATTTCAGCATATTGTGTGAGATAATTTTACTTATAGAAAAGCAATTGGTAATATAAACGAATTATTGTCTCCTATTTCGAAGTGTATACCATTATTAATATGAAAATGTGGATTTATTTATATAAAGCTTTTGAAATTTTGCAGTTTTGATATAACGATAGATATTATACCTTTTCATTATGGTTCGTTGGGTAAGCAAATCAGAGTTTAAGAATATACATACATACATATTTATACACTAATACATTGTATATATATATATAACTCAATGAACAGGTAAACAAAGACTAACCAACTCCATTGGATATTAATTATTAATTTTAAATTTTATTGAATTTTTATAGAAACGATAAGGAGCGCACACAATGTAATTATTATATATCTTCTTTATTTTAAATTGAAACGCCGTTTACCATCAAAACGATATCCGTAAGCTGCTGCATTCTTTGTGTCCACCAATGCTGGATTGCGATGCTTAAAGAAACTGCCGTGCGCATGAGCGGGACGGGAAGCACTGTTGGGCACACCATCCATTTCTCTCGGATAAAATGCCTCGAAAAAACCTTCAGGTGGAATAACTGAGGCGATTTTTGTATCGTTTGGATCATAAGCAAGTGCAATGCGCGTTTTAACAGCAACAACAAGTAGGCATAGCCACATAATTGTTTTAAATACTGATGCCATATTATTAACCTAAATTAAATTATTTTTTAAATCAATTTAATTTTAATAGCACTGCAAATAATTTTTAAATTCATACACATAATAATGTTTATTTACCTCAGCTCCTGCTTGCCTTTAATCACGGTAATTGGAGTTAGGGCTTCTGCGTCAGCAAATTTTTTACCACACTTAAACCTAAATGTCTGCAGTTTTAGTTTATGTACAAATATACTTACATACATACAGTCATTGCAAATTCACATACATACATACATATTATATTTACCGTGACTCCTAAAATTGTGCAAATATTTTTTGTTTGTGTTACGAACCTTATTATTTATATATATTCTGTTTTAGCCATTATTAAAACCCATTTCTGGACTTATGAGGCGAAAAATTTAGTGTTTCAATGGAATATTTATGAAAATATTAAATTAAAATTAGTTTTCAAACAGAGCGCAACATATTTTTAGGCATAAATTATCTTGAGGTATATTTAAAGCTAGGTTTAAAAATTGTCTAGCTTCTGCAATGTATTTAGCACATTTTTAAAAAAATGTTAAATAACGAAATGTTAACTACACGCAGCGCCAAGACTTCATTAGGGGAATCGCTGACAAGTGGCATTTCTTTGTCTACATATGTATCTACATATGGTATATTAATAAAGTGTTCAGAGATATAAGCACCGATTCTATTTCCGAATATCTATAAAAATCAATATTTCAAGCGCTTATGCAATATTTATTTTTACTCGTATGGCTCGTGACATAATATTATATATGTATTTGGTTTTGCTACAATTTGAAAGAAATTTATTTCTTAAGCATAGATATTTATATACTAAACTTACATTTTACGTATTTAAATATTTAAACAGATAAGTTAATATTTTGGTTTAGCACTTAAAAAAAGAAAACAAACAACAATGTCTAGTCAATTCTAGCATTTTTTTTAAGGACTAATCTTCCGTTATGGGATGCTCCGACGTATCACTGTTGTTAAGTCGTCTATTTTCTAGTATTCTAGTAGCTTTTTCTAGTGTTTCTTTGTAAAAAATATTATTTCCCTCGCTGGGCATTGAGTATTTCGAGACATCTAAGTGCCATGTTAAACCAAGGACTATGTTGAAAGCTGAAACGTCATACGCGTGACATCCAGAGTAACGATAAAGCGGTTTCTTATTATATTTGCAGCCATTCCATTGCGCACCTAAAAGTAAAGGCATAATAATATACTGAAGACTAAATAATTTTTATAATGTTTAAAGTATATTGAGGTAAATAAGAAGTTAGGGTTCATTGGACACTTGCTATTCCTGTACATTAAAACCATAGACAATTAATTTACTTATTATCTAGAGACATGTCATAAATGAATAAAATGATAAATAGATAAATTTTAAAATACTGTGTATGTATAAGGTCTAGTAAATATAATTTTTTTTTATTATTTTTGTTTTTTTCAATAAATGTCATTAATAATCTGTATCTCACGTTGTATAAATGCGATCGATCGGGTTACGCGATATGACGTTAAAAAGATAAGATTTTGTACCACAAGTAAAATGACTTTTCAAACAGTTTTATCGTTGCTACACACAGTATTTTTTGAGCACACGTAAAGGAGGGACTCCATCCAAAAAATTACTTTACAAAAATGGAGTTTACACCAATTTCTACTGTGATGCTGCTTTTAGAATAATTGAATTATACTCATATTCCCGAACTACAACAATGTGGATGAAGGTATGAACGTAAATAAGTGAATTAAAAGCGCGGTATGGGCCATAAATAAACATTTTTTGAAATTCAGTAGAGCATATAAGTTGTGTTGAGATGAATGTATCACAGGACAACGCACTAACGTACGCGCATGATTCGAATTTGTCGCCAAAAAGTCTGAAATCAATCTGTGGAGATTTTTTCTTTGCAAGTATATTTATTCCTTAACAAATAGTTGCAAAGCGGACATCGGCCACAGCAGTTTGAAATAAAAAGTGACGTCACTACACAAAATTCAAGTTATTTGCTAAAATAGTTTACCACTCAAAATCAAATAATTATGTACGAATATGGTGATAATTCCGGTGTGAATGCACAAAATGCCAACACAATGGTACCGAACGTTATGTTTGATAATACAATGTCGGAATTGGGCAAGATGCAAGTGCAAGAAGGAGGTATTTATCATTTCAACTCACAGTGTTCGCTGTAAAATTAATAAATTTATAGGTAATTTGGATATGGGAGGCAATGTCTATATTGAGCCTAGAGCAGATGGAGGTCCGCAGCAAACTATGCCAATATATGCGATTGATGCCAGTGTGCAGCAGTTCGAAATACCTGATCCAATCCTGCGACGCACTTTTGCACGTAAGGTGTTCATTACACTAGTAGTAAGTTGAGAAAGTCAATTTTGGTTTGGGTAAATTTTAATAAAATTTTCTTCTTTTACAGCTGCAACATGTACTAACATTACCGGTGATTGAAATTTTCATACTCTTCTTTGATCCGATTTCTCATCCTGCTATACAAGGAGTACGCGGCACCATGTTTTGCCTACTTATTGCATTGTACTTTTTTAGTGACATGCGCCGTTATCCGCCAGTGAATGTTATTGCGTTTGCTACAGTGACTTTGCTACTAGCCGTAGAAGCCGGTGTATTGGCAACTTGGCTAAACTCACAATTGGTGAGATAACATGTCTTTTTTATTAAAAATATATATACAAACAGCAATTATCAATTATTTTTTGTCTTTTTGCAGGCAATATTTCCTCATCTGATAGTAATTGTACAAATTTTAAGTATAGTGGCTTATTCGGAACAAACTCGTTATAAATTTACAGTTATAAATGCCATTTTATTAGTTCTGCTAATATCTGTGGCTGGTCACTATTTTATAGAGATAGTATTTTCCTCATTTTCAATGAATGCCATTGCATACGCTCTTCTCTCCCTAACAACTTATCGCGCTCCATATATCGTTTACGATATGCACCTCATGTTGAGTGGTCATCATGGTTATAATCTTCAACCACATGAATATATATTCGCAGCTACGAACATTTACGCAGACATGCCAAATCTTTTATGGCGAATGATAAAATTTTTCTTGGTGACACCTTTGATCAAAATGTACCATTTTCTGGTAGGCTGTTGTTCTGCCGAAGTGTGTTAGACATTTCGGCGTTTTTTATGTGAAATGTACAAAAATATTTAATATATTGTACGGGTACAATGCGCCTTATATAGTACTATACTTAAAGAAAATATAAAATTTCATTAAAAGAAATTAATGCTTTTGACATTTATACCATATAATGTTAATGTATGCTAAATTTATTCATAATCATTATCTTATCGTTAAAATACGTTGGGAGTTATGAAAATTATCTATTTGCGCTTATAACTTGTAAACGTTGGTTGAGCAATAAAAATTAATTAAAAATGAACAAAAAAAAAAAACGTAAACAAACTTACCAATCGGATCAATACATTCCACTGTCAATGCACACTTCAACCAAGGCAGCATTATATTCTTTTCAACGAAAGGAGTGTCCATGAATAAAGCTATGTCGAGATCAACCATTCGTAGAAAAATGAAATCGTCCGCATCGGTTTGAAAGTAATCGAACATTTTTGGATGTGTGCGTGTGGATACAGCAGTCGGTGTGTTCCAACCCAAAACTCCCGTACCTAAGACTTTATTTCGTAATTTTTGTAGATTACCACCACGAAATCGTATATAATTTTCGACAAAAAGAATACTTTTCGAACGCGTCAAAGCGTCTTTTATCACAATCGGCCGATAGGCGTGCATGCGGCGATCAAAGGCGTGAGACGGAAATACTGATAAATCATAATTTATGATAGAACATTTAGTGACGTTACAATAAGCTGTTAAACTGCGTGAATCATCTCCAGATAAGCCGACATCATATACGAGTAAATGTTCTTCTGGAAATTTCAAAGCAATATTTTGTACGAGTAATATTACCGAAGCCGCCTGTCCATCTTGTACATATGTGACAATGGAAAAATTTGCTTTTGTACCATTGTATGGTATGGTAGCTAGGCGTGTTTTGATGTTATGTTGAAGTGAGTTACCATAACTTGTATAACCATTGGTTTTTTGTAGCTTCAGTGAAGTTTGCTGCATCAGTGGAAGTTGAGATATTTCAACAATATCACTGTCTCCATCTGATTTGAAACCATTTCCAATTTCATAATGATTGTAAGCCTGGGACTCCTTTGCGTAAATCGAATCGGTGAACCCTAGCAAATTCAAATATTTGGCATCTATTTCAAGCTTCTTTTCCTCAGTAACACGCAAATTTTCCTGAATACAAAAATTATATATATTTTTGTTGCAATAAATAAATGTGCTTATAAACACAGATATATATGTATGTATACATACGGTTCTTTTACTTACTTGTAATTTGTTAAATTGCTGATGAGTATGTGTAACAATACTTTTTAAGGAATCGTTTGGTTCACCTGCCGGCCCCAAAATTATGAAAAATATAGTCGTAATGATAACACAGCAGAGTATTAAAATAAAGTGTTTTGTTCGCATTGCCGCAAGTTTTTGGTTTAGTTTTCGTAAAATTCGCGTATTTCTACGTCCGATTTCCTTTGATCCCTCCACAGTGATATTTAAAAATTGAGGTACTTGCTATGTAATTTTATGTATATATAGTTATATATGTTTGCTCAATATTAATGATTCATTTCAACGCCAATTGTATTGTGTATGGAAAGCAATGTCACACGATATTTTTGTTATCACTTTTTTTATAAATTGATATGATGTTATTTATGTACGAAATTTGGCACAATCTTTTTCAGATTACTGTGTTTATCATGATTTTTGATTATATTTGTTATAAGAAGAATATTTCCCATCAACATTCTTGTAATGTGTATCCAGTATAGTTGGTGTTATTTTTTTAAGTTCATTAGCACGTCGTTTCAGGCTGTATTCTGGTACTAGTTAGGAGGCTACTGTTATATTTTGAGCGGTTTTGCTTTATCTCTTTGTTGTCCAGTTTTGATAACAAAATGCGTATTTGTTTTATTTATGTTCAAATTATGATGCTACTGCAAATATTACTGGGACAAATTGTTAAAATTAACAACATTTTTTGGTGATTTTCTTTACACATACACAAATATTAAATTGAAAAACTTACACTTGAGACTTCTGGACTTTAAACGAAATATTCAAATAGACAAAAACAATATAGGTAAAACTGCTTTTAAATTATAAAACATCTTACACTGCGAGATGCAGATTTCTTACAGCCATAGTATAGTTGAAACTGAGTCAACACTAAATATATATATTAGCAGAACTATTTACACTCATTATACACCTTTTATTAACTTGTCATAAATTTTTATTCTATATATATAATATTTATCTTGCTTTCAATTATTTTGTTTAATTTCAACGGAGTTGCTTATAAACTAAAATTATGACATTTTTTATGAAATGTCAATAAACCTTGGCATGAAAAATAATGTTGCCATATGTATCATTATTTAAAAAAAAGCTTATTGTGGCTTAGGCATGCAATTTTTTCTAATTTAAGAATAAGGTTTCGAATATTTGGGATCGCTAGTATTATATAATTATTTAGTTAGGTCTATCGCAGCGAAAACAAATCTGCTGTTTGGAAATACTTGAAAATTTTGGTTTTTACTGTTGTGGTTTAGGGGTAAATGGTACAAAATTAGGGTCAAATCATATATCTATATAAATATTATAATTTTCAATTATATGTAAATATTTGAACGTTGACCATTACGGAATTAAACTAAGGTTGTGTGCCAAACGGTAGATAAATGAAAATTCTGACAGATGAAAGTGAAACTTTGACATTGTTTATGATGAATCAGGAGCTAGGTAAAATTCTAAATATGAATACAGATATGCATTCACGAAGAAATGAACTTAAAGGAATCGTTGCATATTAAATATGTAAGTTATAAAATATGATATTTATTCGTAACTATGCATTAATTTATGTTATTATTTATTTCATTAAATAATACACGACGTGCTTTAAACCGCAACCCTTTTAATAAGCTGCCACAAATTTGGTCGAATTCAAGGCCATGGAATGTTATTTTTCCTTGTAATATCAAATAATCGCGTCTGTGTTTTCAGGAGGTTGGCATACTTTTAAAGTGATTACTTTGTAAATATTTTTGAAATGAGTGTGAATCCAATACACAAGAGCTTTTATTTTGATGAAAATCAAAATTTTATTTGTCGTTTGGCACAACAAAATGTACAATTTGCTTACACTATAGGAAATGTTATCGCACAGATCTGGCAACACCCCACTGAAGCCAAATTTGCAATAGAGCATAGTTTTAAAAAATAAAAGTTATATATAGAAACTAATATAATTATATGTGTATATACTGGACGCAAAGTATAAGTAAATAAATATAACGCTGGGGTGCGAAAACTAGTTCGATGTTCTTTAGTGCTGTATTATCTATATCTTTCATACACTGAAACGAATTGTAACCGTTAAGCCAAATATTTGTTGGTCTCATTATATTTTGAAAGATTTTTCTCTTGGTCGCCTACAAATTGTAATTTCCAAACCAACGGATGTTTTCCTCAAGTTCCGCCGGGCGTTTTCCTCATGCGCCGGAACTGAGCATGACAGCCGGGGCAACTAAGGTAAGGCATTCATATGCATACTACATACGTATTACACGTAGAAATAAATATTTTTAGAAGTATTTCGAAAAATATACTTCTTGAGTAACAGCTTGAGTAAGCGTTGATATATTATATTATATATTATAGTCGAAGCTATGAATTTAATTTAGTACGTCATACAAGTATATTCACTTTAAGCATATAAACGTGATTTTAATTTATTAATAAAATTTGCTTGATTTAACCACTCATAGTTTCAGGATTACAGCTTTTTCAGGTTTTCAGAAGTTATGGCTGAAAATAAATTATAATATTAATACTCTGTTTAACTCTGTTATACAATATATGAAACATTGTTGTAGAAATACTTATTGTAGTAGTAACGAAAGATAAATACTCCGTTCACATAGAAAGACATTTTTTTGTCGAGAAATTAAGAAGAGCATCGATGTGAAGCACTGACCAAACATAGCACCAATAAAGTAGTAGATAATATTTGATATTCATACATAATAGTGAGTTTAATACGACATGTAGAGATGTATATATGTATACATACTCGTACATAGGTATGCAAAACTTTGAACTATGATGTTTCAATCCCGGATTCATAGTTAGATGATTGGAATCAAACCCAGTTATGAACCACAAAAACAAATAAATTGCTTAGGCATACACAATTATGTTCTATATATGTATATTCAGTAATAAGTGAAAACAATAGTCATTGTGAAACGGATGCTTCACTGATGTTTTTGGTTTTCCCCCGAAACTGACGAATTGTGCATTCAAATCAATTTGTTTATCTGTATTGATTGATCCACTGTGAGTCGGCGTTACAAATACATAGGTATGTACATTCATATGTATATGTAGGTATATCTGTGAACTAGAAGTATGTGATTAATATATTTGAAGCGAATATTTAGTGCTGCCAGTGGATAATGAATTGTATGACTCAGCATGTGGTATTACTATTAATAAATACGTGTATGTATGTATGAATTCATGAGTTTAACAAAAAAGGAGTTCGCAATTGGTATTTTAATCACTTAATTTTTTTTATTTTGTTTTATTTATTTATTTTTTTTAATTTTCTGCAAAAATATGCATACATACGAGTATTAAACTAATTAATGATTTCGAGCTGAGTATGGAGTGAGCTGTTTTCTTTAATAATGATCAGTTATTCAGTTATGATGACATGCTAACTTTTTTGTTTTGTTTGCTTAACGCTGTGTAGAAAAGAAAAAATGCTTAATATGTACATACTTATGTATGTATGTATTTAAGTTTTTATATTTGAAGGGGAATACTAAACTATTTTATTTTTTTTTAAATTTCCGTTCATTATTAGAGAAAATTTTTTGCTGTTAAATAAAGTCGTTGCTGACGTTATGTATTATAAATATGTGAATATGTAAGCGCAAAGTCTGCTGCTTTAACAATTTAAAGTTCTAAAATAAAGTAAGTCTAATTCACATTTCTGTGTTTTTTATCATTTTCCTGTGATTTTCAAAGCTTATTAAGTTCATTACAAATGATTGTTAACATAACATTTGGGTATACGTAACTGAAATGGTTTTGGATTTGTATCCGGAAAGCGATTGTTATTTCAAACTAAAATTTTTCGAAGTATGCTTTTAATGCTGCTACAACAACAACAATGTGAACAATATGAAATAAAAGTCGGTTCTTGCTCAAAACATCAAATTTTCTTCGAAGAGATGTGGTTATTTGTCAAGACTAAATCAGGACTTGGTAAGGAAAAGAGTGTGGAGAGAGGCACTCCTTCCTTAAGACGACATTACCAAGAGAATATACTTTGAAAAAAGGTTCAAAGTTTCACTGGGCAGCAAAAGTGAATGGGAGGACTCCACCCTCGGAGAGTGACTACGTGGGAGCAACATGAATTGGTATACAGACGGCTCAAAACCAGCAAATGTAATCCGTGCTGGGATAGTGACATTACGCGCCAAACTGTCACTATCAGATCTGCGGGGACTTATTGTCAACAATGGTACTGAACTGCATTAAAATGCTTAACAGGGTTGCCTCGAAAAATAGCATTTTATTACCATGGATCAATGAAAAGGAGCTTGCCAACCTTTTGGCGAAAGAATAGGGCTGGACATATTCACTGTGGGCTCCCACACCTTTTGAGAGGAACTTCTGAAAGAGGAAAGGCCCTGTAGAAATCGCCATTGACAGCAAATACCGGGAATCGACAGGTAAGGTTATTCTGGGAAAGTTCGATACAAAACGGTAAAAGAAACTAATCGCTCTCCTCAGGAAAAAATTAAGTCAGATTGTGGGATTTTATACAGGTCACTGCAAGCTAAGCTGTCATCTACACAGATTGGGTTACGGTTTCACGGATATCTGTCTTATCTGTGATCAAAAGGTAGCGACCAGAGCATATATTCGTTGTTTGCCCGACAATCGCAAGAATGCGTCAGACTATCGGAAAAATAAATTCGATATCACAACCATTAAGCCAGGAGCTTTATTAAGCTTTTTTGATTCTTTTTCTTTTTCTTTGGCACTATAAACGTAAGTCGGTCTGGACCGAGAACGCAAAACTTCGCCAGTTGCCTCGTTCCTTTGCGATCTATAAAAGGACGGAATATTGAGAGACTTATAGAGCGTAATTCTTGGGCGTCGAGAGAGGGATCTCCTTCTAAATTGCATATCGATTCCAAAGTAGCACTTGTTGGCATGAGTTATTCTGCGCTTGATCTTATACAAAGTTCTAAAATTTTTTTAAATTTATAGCTGCCAACAGTGATATAGTTTCCAAGACGCAAGGAATCTTTGTGCGTGGCATTCAGGTACTTTGTTTTGTCCTCATTCATCACATGACCAACCTCTCTCGCTTCTTTTTCTAGGCTGGAGAAGACTGCGTTGACCGTCTATTTAATTTGACTGGGTTAAATAAAAGTCGCAGACCATTTCTCAACTTTGAATATATCTATATATTTTTCAAGAGTAGTGCTTCATGCTACTTATTAAAAAACATATTTAAGGAACCAATCAAGTTTTATTTCATTGTTTTGTGACTTTAATGATAACTTGAAAATTTGAATTTCAATTAAAATTCTACTGAATATATTCAATTTTCACAAATTCAACGTATAACCCATATAATCTAAATATATTTAGGATAAAAATGGTGCACTTTCCTATGTGTGAGCCAAATTATGATTTGCCACAAACGCTTAGCGCCATTTTCGAAACGGAATCGGATATAGTTGAAACCGAGCAGGATAAATTAGATCAAGCCAGTAAGCTACAAAGTGCCGAATATGAAACTGATTATTATAGAGTGCTCCCATTGTTGTCCTTCAAGAACGATCATCGGGAAAAGGTTTTATCATTGAAGGAAAATGAATATTTGAGTTTACGTTGGCAAAAGTTCTTAACCAAAATACCAAAAAATTACATACGCATTCGGCTTTACAGCGACCAACAAAAAATGTAAATTGCCTAAGCGATTTTATATCGCTTCATTTGCTTACATATATACATATACAAAAAAAATATTTATTTTAGACCGATTGCTCCAAGACGTCTAGTATTGAATGGTTGTTTTTATGGTGTAGACAACAAGTTGTCACCGGTGCCGATTATTCCAGATCCGAGAATGTATGAGAAAATCACTTACAAAAACATTGGCAATGGACAAGGCAAAGAAGTAAACACGAGAAATAAAAGTCGGCGTCCTTCATAGGATAAATTGGTGACATAAAAAACAAGAAAATTAAAATGTCTTATTATTTTGTACGTGTGCCTAATTTGTTATAAAACGTTTGACCTTTTAGATGTTTATTTATCTCACACATTACAAACAGATTATGGTGAGCATATTCAGAGAGATTACTTCCTTGAAATTCTTCTGAGGAGTTCTATTTACTTAAGTTACCATGTAGTGATGTATATAAGCGATACATTTACGATTTCCCTTAAGAATGATTTTTTTTTAGAACGATTCCGTAATTTCGCTAGCAGTCTTATGTGGGTTTTCCTTAAGAAAACGATCCTTCGTCTTCCTTTGCCTTAGTGATATACTCGTATTCTTCCTTAAATTGTGGTAATTGTTTTGTTGATTTGTTTATACTATATATTATATATATATATTGAGGGTACTTTTAATAGCCTTCGCTGTTAGAATATAATAATACATTGCTCATTGGTTATACTTGTCTCTGCACAATATTGTAACTATGTTATTATTATAATTTTTGGCTCTAATGTTTGAAAACTACATCTACTTCACATATAACGATGTTTTGTGTATCTATGGGTATGGAATATTCCTAGTCCTGCCATAAGTTATGTTACAAGTTCAGGCCTTTAAAAAAAGTAAACCATAAAACTATGTATAATAAACTTAATTTAGTTAAATAATGCATATATTAAATGAGTATTGAACAGAATTTCATTCGAAAAGGTAACCTTTTGCGTTCACACAAGAACTCAAACGATTCAACCATTGATCAATAGCAGCACATTCATTTTCTATTGGTATGGACGTGGCTGATTGAACCAATAATTTTTTGAAACTCACCAAATTTCTGTGGGATTTTTTGACAGGCCAAGTTCTTCAATTTTAATCACAAACTGTCCAAATGATTTAAGTCTGGATTTCCAGCAGTGATAAAACCAGCAATATTGTTTTCAAGCCACTGCTGAGTGGTTTTTGCCTTGTGTGCTGGAGCAGAATCTTGGTGAAAGATCCAATGCTCTCCATCGAAGAGAGTATGCTTAACTGCTTTACCACGCCTTACAAAATATGCTGCTGGTGCAATGAAGTGGTTTAACGGCTTTTACAAGAGACTCCCCTCCAAACCATGACAGCAGTTAGATAGTGACCACATTGAACCCTGGCAATAACATGTTTTGCTTATTAAAACCTTCTACAAGAGTGAACATTTTTTTCTCTGTAAAAATGATAATTTCATGGCCGTTGATCACGTGCCACTAAAGCAGCCGATTGCATCTATTTAGCCTAATTTGTT